CTGAATGTAAACAAAATTTATTGAGGTTAGTTGTAAGGTTTTTTCCGTTTTTCTCTCTAAAACAAAACAAGGTAAACAGTAAAAACTGAGGGGAAACTAATTTTGAAGTTTCGAAGAAACAGAAAGACGTATGAGAAGTTTTTGAAAATTAAAAAGAAGGATGATGGTGATTGAAATTAGCATAATTTCACCTTGCACGAGCTGCACGCATTTATAAAATATACGTCATCTAGTTATGAAACACGATCTGCTGTCTTTTAGTTTTGCCATGGATGACATGGATGAGATTTTCCTTTGTGCTTTAGACAGTACTTAGTTGTTTTTGTTTTGGAATAACATCGACATTGGCGAGTAGCAGAACGAAAATATAATTCAGTGGTAGAGTCATGGAAGTAATAAAAGAAACCCTTTGAAAGAGATGTTTGTCTACTCCAACTAAACCTCCCGCAAAAAATAGCAACATTTGCCTCTCGGAGACAGCGTACCAGCACAAAGGAACGAGGAAGAAGTGCAAGAAAACAAATCAAGGCGCCATAATTCAGTGACAGCGGCAGTGTCTTATGTACAAACCACATCGCAAGCCCCGACCGAAGTCGAAGACAAGCAAATTTCTAAACATAGTCCCAGTCCACTGCATCACACCTTTTTGCTCGGACGCGCTCGTTTCACCGCCCTACCTTTATCCGCCCTGCTCAAAACACTCCGTGTGCGTTCCGCTTATTATCAGAACTATGTTAATTGACTGAATTTGTTGAACATAAATAAAAATACTTCTTATAGACAAGTAAGATACACGTACAGAGCATATGAAGATAATAGAAAGCTTAAGATTGAGGTTTTTCGGAATTTCCCGCAAACCGCGAAAGTGAAGAAGTCACTTGACCAGGGGCCCGTTTCTCGAAAGTCCCGATAATTAACTGGCCCGGTAAGCTGTCTCCGTTTACATTAAAGATCGAGGTATCAATAGTTTTGCATCTAACGTGATAAAACTGTCGGATCAATTTATGTTTCTGGGCAACCGATCCCGGTTTCTTATAACCGTACCCGTTTTATTAGATAGGGCACGACATTAATAAAACGGATCCGGTATCTTTCATACCCCCGAAACTTTGTGTCCAACGTGCCCGTTAACTAGTCAACAAACCCGTACCCGGTATACAGACAACATTAACCTACCTCTTCATCTTTTCTAGAAACTGGATCCTGCTTCAATACCGAGCCCTTCATCAATTTTAAGTTCCGGACCAGCCTTATAACCTTCTCGGTTTTTGATGATCCATCGGGCCCGGCTTTATTTCGTTACTTAGTCGGACCCCGGTAACTTTCGTATTTTTCATGGTCGACCCCTACAACCCGGCCCCGGAACCGGGCCCGATTAGGATATGTATTCTTTTCTTTGGTTTTTCATTAAACCCCTCCCCTCCCTCTTTTTTAAAGCTCGACTCATCAACCCAGGGGGGGCTTGTACTTAGAAATCGCCCTCAAATGCAAAGTAAACAAAGAAAAACGGTAAATTTTCTTTCAAGAATAAGGCTAGCCCAATCAATTTTTAAAGGCCAATTTCCCTCCGTACATAAGCCCCTCCGAATACAAGCCCCTCGAAATGTCGGCATTTTACGGTATTTTAATAGGAATACCATTTCAGTAGCTATAGATTTCCGCTTCATTGGTTTATCAGAGATACAAAACTGAGGTAACAAGACTGATCCTTTTGTGTCGTTTGAGCGGGGCTTGGATTTTTAGAGAGATGCCGCGATTTCAAAAGAAAGTAACGGCGAATTTCGCTGCACGAATCGAAACGGATGCAACATTTTTAAAATTAAGCCAACAAGGGTGGGTGGGTGGGTGGGTGGGTGGACGGGAGGGGTGGGGTTGAATGAAAACCCAAAGAAAAGAATACATATCCTAACCGGGCCCGGTTCCGGGGCCGGGTTGTAGTGGTCGACCATGGAAAATACGAAAGTTACCGGGGTCCGACTAACTAACGAAATGAAGCCGGGCCCGATGGATCATCAAAAACCGAGACGGTTATAAGGCGGGTCCGGAACTTAAAATTGATGACGAGCTCGGTATTGAAGCAGGGTCCAGTTTCTAGAAAAGATGAAGGGGTAGGTTAATGTTGTCTGTATACCGGGTACGGGTTTGTTGACTGGTTAACGGGCTCGTTGGACAGTAGGCTTTGGGGGTATGAAAGATACCGGGTCCGTTTTATTAATGTCGTGCCCTATCTAATAAAACGGGTACGGTTATAAGAAACCACTGTCAGTTAAAGAAACAAAATGGAGTAGTTTGCTAGCCAGGACCCGCGCTCTAGATCTCATTCTGTATTTTTTCGATTTGAATATTTGATTTCGGGACTTTCGAGAAACGGGCCCCAGGGATTGCCGTACGGCTAGACCATGCTCCAGAGATATATGAGTGACTTACGGATACCGCAAGGTTTTTTGAACCCTAAAACATCACAATCCCACTTTGAGAAGAAATACGGCTTTTTAGAACTCTTTTGCTTATTGATGATCGAATTCCATTTCAAAAGAGGTAATTTTGAAGACAATTTTTCTCAGCTAAAATAGAAGTAAGTGGATGAATGGTAAACAAACATGGAAGCCGCGAGCTATAGCTAGCTACCACCCGCGAATCTGAAGTCCCAAATATGGGCAGACTGGTAACTTGAAACCGTTAACCGCAAACCGCAGTTTGTCGTTTGCAGTAAAATGACCAAACCTCGATCTTAAGGTCTCTAAACTCACACCAATTAGCACTGAATTAGCTCATAAAAATAAGAACCTTTTTGTTAAGGACGACTGAGATTTTAATATTGAATTTTTAGTCTGATGGATCACGCAGATCAGTTCTAAACTCGCCCATCACAAGGTGGAGCATTTGTCATGAAAGGTCGGCCAGGGCATGGGAATCAGTCACTGATGAATTTAATTTTTAAATACAGAATAATTCATGAATGTGTGCACCAGAGCGGTATTTACACACAAGTTGTTGAGGTATCAGAAATCGAACGAGTGACACAGTTAGTGATGATAATGCGGGGCCAGGGTGCGGGATGCCGGAGTCTGTGGAAAACACGGGGTGTAGCATGCTTTTTGTGACTACTGCACATGACCAAAAAAGTCACCATTGCCAGCTAATGAGTTTCCTAAAGTGAATAAGTGCCAGGCCAGGCTGCTTGTAATTACATATTAGAGTGATTTTTTTGAACGGTGTACAATTATGTAAATACAAATATAGAAATAAAAATATATCTACATACGTAAAATCTAAAAGAGGAAAGAAAAATTAAAGCCTCTTTTCCATGAATGCCGTCTCACGTAACTGAAACGTTTAACATCTGTCGATAGTTAGCCAGAGATTTTGGTTTCCTGATAGAAGAGGGCAGACTGTTCCGGAGAACAGCACCGATATATATGTTTATAGTAATTGGTGCGTGGTGAGGAAACAGCAAGCTCATTCTCGGAATCACGAAGATTATAAGACGTAATAAAGAACGTTCAGGCTCAGCTCCAGAATTAGACGTTATTATAAAAAAGAGTGCATTTGCAAAAGCTCTTTTACACAGTCCCTCTTATCGAACCAGGCGATAACTAGTTACCCGCATTTGTTTTGACCGGGACTCCAGCGAGGGTCAACTTAATAAACATTTTTAACATTTATTCGGCTTTGCAATTAGCGTAGCTACTATTCTACGAGAGGGTTTTTGGCTTCTGCTTTGAGTCTTCCATTTTTTAAGGTTGCTCTTTTTCGCGAAGTGTAATTTTCACTCCTTCCCACGCAAACAAAAAAAGCATATTTCTTTTCCAAAAATTAATTCACCAGAAATTTATGGTACCAGCTAATTACAGTTCTTTTAGAAGAATGATATAATTCTTCTAGAATATGCAAACAAGATAAGTTCTAGGCCGGGCCTTTCTTGAAAGCTGGGTGATAGCAAGCCGAAGCGTTGTAGCCTGTTCCAGGCGTTCAGATAGTGGGGAGCGGTACGACGTAAAAAGGAGCGCGAAAAAATAAAAGCGAGGACCTCTGTCCCCAGCCCCCCTCTACTTTTCATCGCTTTCTTTACTTCACACCGCTCTCCACTATCTGAACGCTTGGAACAGGCTAAAGCGTTGACAAGGCGTCGTTTATTACCCATCGTCGAATGTACCGTGGCTTGAAAATAAACCGTAAAACAAAAAAAATAAAATTCAGAGAGGTACATGTTGGAAAATATATCAAGACTATTAAAACAAACACCACACTGAAACCAATCTCGACCACGAGTGAGCAGAACATTTCTTTCGTCATCATGCATCTAAATTTATGCAACGCAGCGATATTATTTAACATACGTGTTATAATCTTCGTGATTCCGAGAATAAGCTTGCTGTTCCCTTACCACGCACAAATTACTATTATTACAAAGATAGTTTCAGCTACAGCGGTGCGAGGTCGACTAACAGGAGATTTCTGTAACTAGAGTTAAATGCCATTAGATGAATATATTGGCAAAGGCGACCGCTATTGTCGTGCCCATGGTGGTACCATGTGTTTGAAGGTAGTTTTTTCCCATTAAACTCGAATGAGTTTTGTTGAAGAGTAGCCTTAGCGCTTGTTCGATCTTGTTCGAGTAGTTGTGAAGGGATAGGAGGTTCCTTGATGTAGAATGTTTCGTATTTCGTATCGATATTTCGTATGATCTAGGATTTCTCCCGAACCAGTTTCTCTCCGGGTTATTCCCCACTTCCAAGTTTTTAAGAACACTCCCTAATTTTAAATTATTTGGAAAACGGTTGATGTATCTGGTATAAGACCCCCCCAAAATATTGTCTTGTCTTGTCTATCCTAAGTGTGTTATTAGTGTGTTGAATAAAGTAAGGAATACTGCCGCGCGAAAGCTGATCCAAGGAAAACGAGAAAACAATGCCTTTTCTTCGCTCGCCTCCTCCTCCATCCTTTTCTCGTTGACCTCGCCTTCGCTTGGCCCCCATCTGGCCCAGATCCCTAAAAGTATGCAAATTTATTCACGTGACAAGGGAACCAAAATGGCGATCAACTTGACCAAGAATCGCGATTCTCTCTTGAACACATGGAAAAACGTCTTTGATGACACTCCAGACGTCAACTGGTGAGATATATGGCTTAGTCATACTTTTCTTTCTTTCACTTTAAGATAATATTCCCTCCTTTATTTTTAGGGCTGTATTTGGTTACGATGGGAAGACGAATGATCTCAAAGTTGTGGAGACTGGAGGTGAGGAAGTGACTGATTTCACGGAAATCTCTCCCTTCTTTTCCTTTTTGAGACAATTTTTTCATTTAGTTTCTTTAGAGGCAGGCTAACTTATGGAGTTAGAGCGAGCGATATGAGTAAGATTAAGTTTCCCTTTCGCATACTTGCGAACGTAGCGCTATTAAAAAAAAAATGGGTGTATTTTGACAGCGAAGTGCATGAGTAACAGCTGGTGTACGCCTAAATAGTAAACGTCGATTTATCCAACTCAGATTCAACTAGTAGTGTAATGAATACTATAGATTTTTAATGTTGCCAACACAGTAATTATTTTGGAGTGTTATTGTTACAAAGTTAAAATCGCTTGATTTTACTTTCTGTATAGTAATATTCAGCAATCAGTCTGCTTCAGTTCTAGTTCGGAAGTGCGGATGTAATCTGTCATATGAATCTTGCCCTGGTTTCTCTTAAATGTTATTGTATGTGCCACAGTGCTACATGTTATGTATAAAAGATGTTTTTTTTACCAGGTCTTGTCAAGTGAGTAAAGGTGTTGCTGGAACTGGGTGGGAAAGAGGGGTTAATTGGTGAGGGAGCACTAATACGATAACAACAACAACAACAACAACAAAATAAGCTTTCTTTGCATGACTATGTTTGGTTACAGTATTGGAAAAGCTTTAAGATAGAGTTACAATTTATAATAATGCCATTAGATGAATTATTACAATGGTCAATCAAGTGTCATGAGTTATCATCATTGATTTGATAACCTCACTTTGCCTATCTAGAACCCTGAGTCGGTTTGTTCTGTGTTTATAACTGAAAAAGCTCATTGACTCTCCAAATTAAAAAAAAAGCAAAGTAGATGTGCTTTTGTGACCCCCATAATAATTATTATGGGGGCCACAAAGAAAGGTCTCTTCCTTCTGGCACGGTCAGATACATGTAATGAACTGATTTTGTCTTTTAAAAACAGGATCTGGGTTTGTAGGCCTTGGCATCTGACCACTCCACCCAAACTTTCTTTCAGTCCCCCCCCCCACCCTCCCTTGGGTGCTCCACCCCCTTATAGTATTCTCTACCCTACTTGTAGTATTAGTATATAGAAATAAGATGTTTCCAGCATGTGTAATTCAGAGACATTTTCTCAGTGCCTTGGTACCACTTCACCATTCTGGGTTTTCACTTGACATAAGCTATATAATAATGTATACTTGTATTTTAGATGGTGACCTTGATGAATTAGTGGATGAACTCAATGAAGGAAAGATGTTATATGCTGCTATTAAAGTGATGGATCCAAACACAAACCTCCCTAAAATTGTCTTCATTAATTGGGTAAGTTTGATTTATTTCTTCCCAGTCTAGTTGATGTTAAAGATCCTTGTTGATTTAATTCCTAAACTCAGTAGTTTCTCAGTGTTGCAGATGGTTACAATCACCAAATGACGTAATACAAAAGATTGAATAGACACTGAAAAATACCCGCACCACAAAATGATATACAGTAAAACCCTCCATATAAGAACCTGGATTTTTTATTTTAGCCTTAACAGGTTTTTATATAAATGGTACTTAAAGCAAATTTAGACTACCAAGGTTTTTAAAATAGGTTCTTATATTTTCATATGATTTCATTTAAATATAATTATTATAAAAATCATCTCATAATACAATATAAATCATTTATATGATACAGTAATACCTAAAGGCAGTACAGTGCAGGTATGTCCTTAACAAAATGTTATGTCAAGTTACTTTTAAATATAATCAGATGATAATCTTAATTCAGCAGTTTCTACTTATACACTTTTACAGCAACTCCACTGATAAGAACCTAACTTAAAATTTTAGTCTTAATAGGTTCTTATGTGGAGGGGGCTTAAAAGGAAAATTTTAGCCTAACAGATTCTTAAAACTCAGGTTCTTATACGCGGGGTTTTACTGTATAGCTAACCAACAATAGTTAATTCCGCAACACTGCAAGAAACACTCCTAAGTTCTACAATGGAGGACAAAAGAACTGGGGACTGTGTGAAAAAGCCCTTCCTAGTAATTGTTACATAAGACCTTGCTCCTAACAACAATTTTTGGTTTGACTTTGGGTTCATCCTGTCATCCCCCCACTCCCCCAGCAATGTTGTGGCCAAAAAAAGCACTCATTTCCACCCATTTTGAGCAAAATTCAACTTTGATTGGGGTGGGGAGGGGAGGAATTGCTAGTTTTAGTAATATCACTGGAAAGGTCCCAACACTTTTGACCTCTATTGTAGTTTATATATAAACATGATTTCCTGACAGTTTCCTTTTAGCAGTGTTTTGTTTCTTGCAGCAAGGTGAGGGAGTACCCTCTTCAAGAAAAGGTGTATGTGCAAGACATGTGCGGGATGTTGAAAATTTCTTTAAGGTCAGTGGTTCTGCCCACTCCACTGTTAACCTCATGGGGTTCTTAGATTTGATGACTTGCTCTTTTACACTAGTACCGGCCACCAGTCAACTCCATCCGCTTTCCAGCCCTTAATTTTAGAGCACCAACCACCTCTTTTGACAACTTTGTGTGAGTTTTTGGTTTAACTTGCATACGTTCCTTAATACATATGTAAGTGTGGGGTCAAGACGACTAGTTAAGTGTAATGAAGATCAGAGACAAAGTTGAGGCTGTTAAGAATTGAAAAAGAAGGAGAAGAACAGAATGCCAGTATCCAGCCATCTTGACTGAACACGCTTTGTTATCAAAGGATTTAATTCACTTTTAGCCAAAAGAATTTTTTTTACAGTAAGTTGCAAAGTGCTTAATTTTGAACAAGCAAGATACATAACTTACATGTGGGCCCATTTCATCTCCTTGGGTAGCCAATCAGGGTAAGCTGCCAGCCATATAATAAAATGAAGAACATTTTCAGATCAGTGGTAAACAAAGCTGAAAAAATGGTTATGCTACAAGAATACATTGAAAAAAGTTGAAGTCTGTTAAAGTCAGTTTGTCTTAAAAATCTAAAGATGCCCTTTTTGTAAACTTAATCCTGGGATACACTCATTCAACTGGACTCACTCAAATATAGACTCAAGTGAGTTTTAAATTGGCTCCTCATGTTCACTATTACATCGGGTGATTAAGAGCTACTGTGGTCTCTTATAAAAGTGCAAGTCATGTATGCTTCTAACTTATCCTACTACCAATATTGTAGAATTTGATTGATCATTGCTAGGTGCCAATCAAATATCAATCACTGTCACATGGTCTCTGACACCCTACAAAACATGGGTTGCCTATGTTTATGATTAATGATGTTCTTTTTGAGAGCTAGATATTTTGATCTGCTTTTAGGGAGCCCACGTTACCATAAATGCAAGGTCAAGTGATGATGTTGAGGAAAGCGTTGTCCTTGAAAAAGTAAAAAGTGCCTCAGGTATAATTATGTGAATATAAGCAGGACTGAAATATCTGACTTTAAGGTGCTTTTAAGTGTAACTTGATGACACAGTGTGGTTTTCTGTTTAGGTGCAAACTACAGTTTTCATAAAGAGAAAGCAAAACCAGCAGAACCCATTACTCCTGTAGTAAGTAAAGTATAAAACCGTGAAAGTTGATTATATAGACTGGGTAATGTGAGTCAGCTTCTGATTATTTTCTAATTGGGAATGTTACACAACTGACCACAAAGCCACAAGAATTCCTACAATAAAATCACATAATTTGGACAAAATAACAATAAAAATGAATTGCTAAATAAATTCATTAATAAAACTGTAAGGCAGTTTTGCTTTAGAAATGTAATACAAATCTTTTGACATTAGTAAGGGTGGAGGAAAGATTGTCTGACAGGTTCTTTTCTTGGGGAGGTCGAAGCCAACAATAGTGGGACTGGACAAAACAAAGTGTGGCATGAATTTAATAATGTATAAATAATAAATCACATATTAAATGTTAATGTCCTTTTCAGCTAGTTTCAACTTGCTTAGCCTGCGAATACAGTCTTCTCTCCTCACTTGTCTCTGTATGACATGTTTCGCGGCAGAGATTTGTCAATTCAACCCAAAAGTTTGACACTGTTGATGTTGACTTGTCCGAAATGCAGGGGCCAAATCGCAGATCCCTCTCTTGCGAAAAGACTCACAGAGCAAGGAGAGGCAGCTGTATTCACAGGCTACATTCTACTGTATTATTGTGTCGAAAATATTTACATTGTAGTATAAATTTTTGAAAAGAGAATATTTTTATTGACAGGGTTCTGTGTACCAGAAAGTTAAAGTACAGCAAGAAATTAATGTTCAAAAAAGGGATGCATTTTGGTCTAAATCTGAGGTCAGTATGAAAATTACCACATCAGACGTACACATAATTCTTCTGCAATATCATTCCTGGAAGAGTAGTAATTTATAGTTTTTTTATCATAAGCTTTTTATTGTGCACAATGATACTAATGACTAGTTAGAATAATCCTTTAAACATGAGACATCATATTGTTGTCACAGAGATGCAGGCTAATGATTTAATATGGTTTGTTCATTGATATTTGAAAAGTCATGGAGTGGGGTGATGTAAAAGAAGGTCTCAGACTGGGTTGGCTTCTCTATATACTGTTTCATATGCTTATACAGCTATTTGGAGACAGATTGTCGGAATAAGTGCCCGCAACAATCCTGAAAGGCATTGTGGGTGGTTTTGAGTTCACTGTTCTTCAAAGAAATTTAAAAGAATTGGCATGAAAGACCATGAAAATGTGTTTGCGAGTGCTAAAGGAAAGCAACAAGAGTAGGTTCGACAGCTACAGTCATCAGGAATATTGTATCGATCATATCCCTTATTACCTTTCGGGATTGTTGCGTGCACATTTTTTTCGACAACCTTTCTCGAAATAGCTGTATACAAATTGGTTTGTAAGCATCAGGGCCAATTATTTCCTGCGCGAAGAACTGAACGCTCAAAATAGCACTAAAAAATTTAATAATGTGATAACATATCAACAACAACAACAACAACAACAGTTTATTCAATTTTTAAATAATTTACCACAATTAGCAGAGCTATTCTATAAAGTCAGTAAAAAAATGTAAGTAAAGAGAAAGCAAAAATGAAATGAAATGAAATAAATAAATAATAGATCTATTTTTTTTTTCTTTTCAAACAGCAAGATGAAAAGAAAAGGAAGGAAGAAGAACGTAAACAGGCCATTGCTACTAAGAATGAAGCTGAAAGAAAAAGAAAAGATAGAGAGGTTGGTTTTGTCCTTGTTTGAACATTTGTTGTGTCTTAACTAAGTAGAGCCATGATATCGTTAGGACATGTAATCTGAGTTAATTATATTTAAAAAAAACAAAATTTTGTTTTGTTTAATTTGCTTTGTTTCTCGGAGGAAGGGAAAACAGCAGTTTACTGTACAATTTAAATTGAGTTATACCGGTTGCACATAGAGCAGCCAGAACTCAATTTATAAACTAACATATTATTATGAGGGCTGAGTGCTCAATACTTGACAGGGAACTCTCTGACTTTCAATGGCTTTATAGGCTAAGGAGGCTGAGCACAGAGAAAAACAATTTAGAGAAAGGTCAAGGAGTATTGAAGAACAAAAGTAAGAATCTTTATGTTGATTTGTATATGCTATTATTATTAATTTTTAGAAATAATTGTAGTCACAAACAATTGTCCTTCTTATTGACTTTTCAATCTAAGAAGCTGTCTTCTCCTTATGGTCAAATAAAAACTTAATTAATACATTGGAGTCAAACAATAGTGCAAAATTATTTAGGCAGAAGATCAGAATCCTGAAAAGTCTATTTTGCCAAAATATTCCTGATATTATTGATGTACATGTAATACAATATACAGTGTTCTCCTTCTGGTAACCAGTAAAATTTCCCGCCTGAAGCAACGCTTCTTAGCACCTGCAACAGCCTGAAGGTTTACTAAAAATAAAGAGGTACTTTTAAAAAATGCACAAGTTGTGATCTGATCCGATTCTCACATGCCACAAGGAAATGGATGGATGAATGGATGGCCGATTTGTGTAAAATAGGTCTTTAAAGGAGGGAATTATGTTTCAGAAATTTTTTTAGCAAGGCTGGCGCCATGTCCTGCACTCTACTACCCCCATGCCCCTAGGCCATTCATAGCCTTACTGGCTATGAATGGTCCCTTACCAGCTGAGCTAAAATTAAGGGAGAACACTGAATATACAACAAATCGTTTCTTTTTTATAGGAGAAAGGAAAGGGAGGCAGATGAGAAGAAAAAGGAACAAGAACAAGCAAGATGGGTGAGGCACAAACCGTTTTATTCTTTTTTTATTAGTTTTTGCATTAGCATAAAGAATTATAAAAGAAATGCCAGCAAGAAATTTATAACATTATTTTGTTTAAATTAGTTTTAAGGGAAAAAATCAATAAAACATGTACAATTTGCAGTCTTGCTAAAATTTCACATGGTAACAAAGATGGATGTCTCACCAAATTTAGGTAAGCAGACACAGACTTCTCCGCAAATTATTAATTGATAAGGGAAAGTTCATTTAATATGACAAGGAGAGGGGATGAAGATATTGAGGGGGTATTTTAGACACACCGAGGGGGGTATGATGAAATTTGTTTTCAAGACCAACACATGACATCATCAAAAGATCGGATGGTTTTCAACTCAACAATTTAATGACCTGTGCAACTCAGCTATATTACATGGTTTAGATATAACAAATGTAGTCTCAGTAATTATTACACTCTTGTTTTTAGGAAAATTGTATCACAACTGTATCTCAAGTTTGTCATAGTATAAACCATTGAAGGCAATAACGGTAAATATATTTAATACAGTCTAGCGACAAAGGAATTAGGGGGGGGGCTGAAATTTTTTTTTTGACTACCAAGGAGGGGGCTCCCAAAAAATTGAACTGCTAGCGAGGGGGGCTGCTAAAATTTCAAGCTTCGAGTTTCAATATCTTTATTCCCCCCCCTTGTCATATTAAATGAACTTTCCCTAAGCCTGTACTGGGTATGATGAGGAGGTTTTTTACACAAAAAGATGTTTTCTTCACAGTAAATCAGTGAGTTTTAGGCTTATCAATTGGCTACTACTGTATGATTGTAACAACGTTCTGGTCACTTTTTTCGTTTGTCCGTATGTGTTTTATTGGCAAGTTATTAAAATGCATGTTTCTAGTACAATTAAGGGTTAAAACATCACATGCTTTTTGGTGATCTTGCAGTGTTATGTCTATTTCTATCTGACATATTTCCCAGTTGTTTCTTAATAAATAAAGTGAAAAAGAAACTGTTTTATATTTTTGTTGTTGTTAATAGGAACAACAAAGAGAAGCAGATGAGAGAGAAATGCAAGAGGAGAAGGGAAGAGCCAATTCGTTGCGACAAGCTAGGTTAAAGGTACAAGTTCTGTTTTGTGTGCCCATTGTGTAAAGTAACGTATAACGTAAAGCAAGTGATTCAAACTGTAACAATAACACTATTTCTTTTTGGATTTCCATCAGTTATGAATACTTCTGACTTATTAGAAAAACCCAAGTTAGAGATCCATACCTTAAGTTATGGATTAAGTTTTTCCACTCAGATTTATGGCCTAAAAATAAGCATGCAAGTCATAAGTCTTGGCACAAAAACTTGGTTAATCTGTAGTTTACAGTACCGATTTTCTTCTGAGATGGAGAGTGGATTAAAGATTTTAACCTCTTAAGGTGGCTGTCTAGAGTAAAATGACTGTACACAGCCTTGACACTAGTATGGCCCAAGCTTATTTATGAGGGGATATAATGTTATATGAGTTACAAGTCACTTTTTTGAAACTACCAATCTCCATAAGTGTGAATCGTATCATAAAAGAACAGAAACTTTCTGAAGGCATCAATCATTTTGCTTTAAAAGTAGACAAACTTAAGATAGTCAAAGTAAAATGGTAAAGGAAAACTTTACAATGCAACAAGGCAGTAAGTACACTACCCTTGAAGGAAGCAAGTATGGAAAGTTTCCTACTTGCAAAATCCTGATGAGGGACACTTTCCAAAGACAAACCATCATCATATTGTGTGTTCTTGCTTCAAAAGTCCTTCAATGCACATGATGCACTAGAAGATGTTGTTGCTCTGCGAAAATATATTTTGAGTTATGGATTGACCTTTGACAAGAACAACACAGTCAAGAACTACTGTCTTGTACATGCAGCCGAGGACTTGGTGTATAATATTTAGATCACCGCCATCTTCCAAAAGTTAAAAAATATTGATATAAACTTCACCATCTGCATAAATAAAAATCACCTTTTTGCTGATATTTCACCAGATTTTAGATTAAATGGCCAGATTTGGTTGTTTTATGCTGAAAAAGTGGATTTTGTCAGAAAACCTTGGTAATTTGCTTAACCCCTTTCACCCCTGGAAATTTTGCGGAAAAACGCATTTTAAAACTACATGTAGTGGTCACTGCCTTGCTGTAAAGAGCTAAACCATACCACAAAGCTGTTTACAGGTCGTATACCTCACAGCCTTCTGATCCAGATGCAAAATGATATTAAAAGATAAAAGCTATTTTTTAAGTCAGCGAGTCTGCATTTTTCCCACGTGTGAAAAATTTGCATACCAAAAAACAAGCAACGGAAGTAATTTTGGTTAGCTGATTCGGCAAATGTCAATCAATCAAAAAAGTGGGCGGAAGACATTTTGTAGAAGGTTTGTATCAGGCTCTCTTTTTGTTTCACCTTGCCCGCCGGAATGGTTTTTACAAAGCGTAACGAAAATTGAGCGTGATCTCAGGTTAGTGTCTTCCTTGATATTTAAGGTATCATAATAAATTTAGGGTAGATATGTAGGGGACAAAATTTTTAAATTTTATGTTCACAATTGTAATGAGCCTGACTTAATGTTATTCAGGAAGCTGAAAGTCTCATTAAGCAAGGACAGGCTGAGAAACCCAAATTTGAAGAAAAGAAGGGTCCCGCTCCACCTCCATTGAAGTCCAAACCACCACCCAGGAGACCACCCCCTCAGGTGAAACCACGTGAACCCGAACCAGAACCTGAGCCAGAACCTGAGCCGGAACCTGAACCAGAACCTGAGGCAGAACCCGAGCCAGAACCTGAGGTTGAGGTATTATGTTCTTATATGCAGTGGAATACCATTAATGCAACAATGAAAAATGTAGTGGTAGTAATGGGTTACCTTTATATTATGATACTATAGCTGTAGGTCTATCAGTGTTCTTACCAGTCCATGGCATTATGGCATTGGTGCACCTTTTCGGGGAAATGCCGCACTATAATTAGCCCAAAGGGTACCAAGGGCACAAAGAAGGAAAAAGAAAGAAAAATCTATTACGAAACGTACGTAAACATGTGTACATTTCTTATAAGCCAAAATTTAATTGGTTATTATATATAGCATCTTTAGAAATCACCCAATCAAGTATGAAAAAAGTATGAGGTATTTACTCCAACTCAGAGTGGTATATGTAAAAACTGGATATTTGTTATTTAATAAAGTACGAGGTATTTACTCCAACTGAGACTTGTTAATTTATAACTGTATCTAAAACTTGTTAACCCCTTTTAACTTCTCTATGGGCATGGGTCTTTTGGACCCCAGTGTAGCAATTCCTGGTAAGAACACTGGTCTATCTAAACAGTGCTATTGTGGTAGGTACCTGATGACAAGTACAGTTGGATCTCCATTAATTGGACAGTAATAATCAGAGACCAGAAATAATAATCTAAAGCGGCCACCTCCACCAAGCGACCACAGCCACCTTTTGGCCATCCTGATATCGTTGTCACCTCTATTAAGCTAACATCAAGTGCTTTATGCATTTTATTATTGTGTATTTTAAAAATATGATGAAGGAAAATACAGTCCGAGATTGAAGGTGACCACTGATTGTGAACCAGTTATGCTGCTCCTGTTGCATGTTTGTTTCAAAATGAAGTGATGTTTTTGCTAAAGATTATGCTTTTTATGGTGAACTTTTATTGAGTGGCCAATCTCCATTAAGCAGTGACACACCAGTGCCTTAAGGGTGGCCTCTTAATCCCAGTTCAACTGTATTATTCACTTCTGGCTACCTTTAGCAATGGCCGTGGCAAAAGCTCTTTGATGATATTATAATTACTGATATCATCAGCAAATTGTATTTTATGCATTCTCAGCCTGAACCAGAACCAGAGCCAGAGCCAGAGCCAGAGCTAGAAGAACCACAAGATCTGTATGAAAATGTGGTGACACTATCAGAGACGCAACCAGGCTTTGAGACCTATGACACAGCTGAAGTGGAAATACAAGAAGAACCAGCTCAGAAGGAACCTGAAGCTACAGGCTATAATGAAGAGGAGCAGCTGTATGATAATGCTGAACCTGTTCAGGTAATGTATGACCCCCTGATATAGAGTCTATAGGGCTGGTGGAGAAGAAGGAAACTCAGGCCTGTTTCAAACATTGCACATGCTATTGCTGTGTCAAACCCAACTGATCAAATTAAATTCAAATTAAGCAGGAGGTTTGAAACCAAGCTGCGCTACTGCTGTCTAGCATGGCAAAGCTTGCTGTGCTACATTGTAGTTGCACGACTTGATTTCAAACCTTGTACAACTGACTTGCCAAACTCAATTCACAAATTAAAGATATACATGTACATCACGATACGTTTTAAAAGCTATACTAACTGCCTTTTATTTACATGTTTTGTTTTCAGCGAAAGCTATTTTATTCAAGTAAATTAAATTCAAGTCTGAAACCAAGTGATGTTATAGTTGTGTTACATTTGAGCGAGCTTAACACAGCAGTAGCACAAAATTTGCAACAGGCTTTACGACCCAGGTCCTTGCAGCTCTGCTCCATCCCTCAGAATTCCCTGGAATAATAAAATTTTCCACCCAGGCCATACATGTAGAAAAATTCTTGTAAATTCTCTTTCACTTACCCAGGGTTCTCATTAAGTTTTAAAGTAGACGGCTAGGATTGTAAAGGTAGGCAGCTTGGCAACCGAGTACGGTAGGCAATTTCAGGCTTTCCCTCCTTCACTTTACCCATTTTTCCCCTAATGCAGATGGCTCAGACCTCAAAGTAGTGGGTTCTTTAGTCTGTTGCAAGCATTTAATGAGAACCCTGCTAATCTGATCATGGAAAGCCTCAGTCTGTATATGAATTATGTCCACTGTAGCCTTGGATAACTCCTGGTCAGATTATTTTCATTTCCCATCTCTCAGTGATATAAAGCCTTTAGGATGCACACCAGAAATTTTTCAGGGAACACAGTCATGTAAATTCATGGGTCCTGATAATTCTCTGTGCTCAGAGCTAAAGAGTGTTTTATAAGTAATTTTTATAATTTTTTTATTAAATCATCCCTACTCGTGGAGCTCACCACTTGAGCCCTAGTTAATACCAAGATACATATCTTATTTTCTCAACACTTCCCTTGTTTAATTTCGTCTTAAATCCTGAAATACAATTTTTAAAATGTACATTGAAATATTAAGATTCCCATAAAACAAAATTACTAACCAAAAATTTTAGAAAAATAAAAACAAAACTGTTTTCAATTCTCTCTTTTATGCAGCCTCAACCCTCAGGTGGGGATCAAGGACAAACTGCTAAAGCAGTATATGATTACCAAGCAGGTAAATATGGCGACAAACTTGAAAATACAACACCAAGTGCTCTAGAAGTTCTAGAAAATCGAAAAATTAGGAAATGTTAATTTGTGAAGTCCTTTGATTTCCCCCCAAATTCCCTGGATTGTATATAAATCTCCTTGAATAAGTTAGACACAGTTAAAACAGCCTTGTTTGAGAAGAAGGATATTTTTTTAAAGTTAAATCATTCAATCTCTATCTGAGCAATGGCACAGATAAAATTCAGTCATATTCTCTTCTTTTAGAAATTGACGAGAAGATTTCCTTTGACCCCAGAGATCTGGGTTATGGCATAAACTTCCTTCACATTTTTTATTTCTTTTAGAAAATGATGAGGAGATTTCTTTTGACCCTGGAGATCTTATCACTGAAGTAGATCAATTTGATGAAGGATGGTGGAAAGGCCGTGGTCCTGATGGTAGATATGGCATGTTCCCATCTAATTATGTAGAGCTTGTTGGTGAATCAGAACCAACACCAGAAGTAACAGCCTCTGAGGTAATTAAGCTGGGTAATGATTTCTAAAATATGACCTGTTAAGCTGAATTTTGTAATGGATATATCCAATAGTTTGTTAAAAAACGAGCTACAGCCTGTAGGGGGTGTCTTTTTTGTTTAGAGAGTATTGCAGGGTGTGTGAAGTAAAAACTGGAAGGGAGCTCTGATGCTAGCCCATGCTAGGCTTGCCCATCGCGGTACAGTCTACAGTGTACACAGTATATTTAAACCTACAGTAAAATAAATTTTATGTTACTGCGGGTACTCATTTTATAGCTATAACATGACTGGGTGACAAATTGGAGCAAAGTGCCTTGTCCAATGAAAAAATATGTTGGCCAGACCAAAAGGGTTAAAGGCTGACATGTTAAATGCTTGGTGATGCCTCTGTCCTGAGGGTTACTCCCCAAACATTCATGTAGTGTACGTATATGAGTATAGTTTTATTGTTATGTGCAACCCTTTGCTAATATGGTTGTGGTTTTGGGCTACAGTTCTTTTTTCTAACAAGGTACCATAATTTATGAAGTGATGTGTGTGTGGTGTAAATGACATTGCAAACTAAAGCTAGAAACTAGAAACACTTGAACACTGCCATCATTGTGTGATGTATCGCGTTACATTATAGTTTGTTGTATTGTATATGTAGTATGATTTGACTTTATTGTACGAGCCTGCAATCCTGGTGGTTGCAGTTTGCCGCCATGTTTGTGTTAGTAAGAGATTTGGTGATTAAAGCCTAATTATTCTCCAGCAAACGTCTTCCCTTGTTCACAATAGTGTGCATGCCAGAAAAGAGAAGCCAGCACCCGGTTTCCTTGGTTTTTTTTGTAAATATTACTATACACTAACAGAAGTTTTTCCCGTAGGGAGAACCAGGTTTACAAGCAAGAGCAGTCTATGACTATCAAGCAAGTATGTAAAAGTGTATTAAAAATGTATTTAAAAAGATGATTATTTTATTGCACAGTTTCAGGAAACAATGGAGCCTTAACTTTTGTGTGCTATAATTCTCTTGATCTCCTTGATTGACGGATCATATCATATAATATTAAAAACAGAGCATTATCATTATCACCATCAATATCAGGGTCAAGTTTTCTTTATTTCCACACACTTGTTACAACATTTGTAACAAAAAAACAAGAATTAGAGACAATGTGAAGGTCTCGAAACATTATCTCTGTGGCTGGGAGCTTAAAAAAGGAAATATGATTTAGAATTAATGCACAATAAAACGTCCTTGATTTGAACTGACCAACTTATGTTTGTTCACAGCTGATGATACAGAGATTACTTTTGATCCTGGTGATATCATTACAAACATTGAACAGATTGATGATGGCTGGTGGAGAGGTCAAGGTCCTGATGGTAGTTACGGTTTATTTCCCGCAAACTACGTTGAACTAATTGCTTAGAGATCATACCACTTCTTCACTGTAATTCTAGTTAACAAATGACATTTCTAACAAATATATTCCAAAAGGTGTTGTCTTGAAGTTACATATTTATGGGCACTGTTATGGGAATTCTTAAAATAATGAGCAAGTACTTTCTGTCTTGCATAAGCAGTACCTGAAACAACATAGGGATCTTTTCAAGCAAGAAAGCAGAAAATGTTATTGTCAGCAGCCTTAATGAGCCAAGATGACAAAACTTGAAATTTGTTGTTGAAGTTGAATCCTTGTCCTTGTTCAAAGCAAAATAGTGACAAACATTTTAAATAATTTGATTGCAAATTATTAGTAAAGTACTTCCTATCAAACAGGAGCATTTTGTCATGTTTTTATCATCACAAATACAGTACATCTTTACATTTCTCATAACAATGCCCATTTGAACTCTTAATGCTATCATTTTTTATAATCTATGAAGTTAAATTTCGTGGTAAGTTTTGTGTACTGTCACGATCTTTGTAAAAAAAAAAAAAACTGAAAGCCCCTTTGTTAGGATGGTGATACTCCATGTTTGTTTATCTTAATGTAACTTAAGGGGGAAAAACAGTTACCAGTAGTTTTTTTGTCTATTTTTTTTTTAAATGGAATTCAAAATCCATGAATGAAAGATTTCCATCACAGTGGATGTTTGTGTTCCATTGAATTAGAGATTCGAAATGAAATTTGTTTGTTGTGATTGCACCACAGTTTTTTTTTCATCATTCCAAAGTTTTAATTGCCATGTTTGATCAAAATGAATTAAGTTTTCATATGGTGGGTCTTTCATTAAATACATGCAAGGCTGATATTCATTTAATTATGATGAATTAAAGCATGTGCAATTTGGCAATCCAGAAAATTTTCCATAGTTTTAAGAAGATGTGCAAACAATGTGATTATGTTATTGTGTAACTGTCTGCTTCCTTATAAACATATATCTGCAATAGTTGGTTACGCGCCGATCCTAGAATAGAAACTAACAGATTTGTAAAATAGTTTTAAATAATAAGCAAATAAATTAAGGCCATTATTTTTCCTACAAGTTTAATAAAATAATTTGTGACCAATAAGAGACACCAGTGACAATAAGAGTAACCCTATCTTTTAAAATAGTGAAAGCATTAAAATACTTTCACACTGTGTTTTACATTTCCTCTAAATAGCTTTTAAATCATCCTTGGAGGTTATTGTTTGGACTATCTAAATCCATGCCCGTATTTTCTGCTTACTGAGCTTTTGATTTCTTTTTAGAGATCGTTGAGTTTGCATATGAAAATAAAACCACAAAAGATTTATTCATAGCTAGTGCAAGGGTGGGAGAGGGTAAAAGAGAAAGTGCTCTGCACATGCGCGCACCTTCATTGAATTATTGAGAAAAAGAGAAAGAAACGTCTGGAGAATGAAATATGCCCTGCTGATGGTTTTCGGAGCATTTCACAGAAATCTGTACAAAAAATTTCACAAATCAAAATTTTATGTTTCACCCAAATTCTTAACAAATTGAAAATATATTAGTTTAAACTGCTTATGAAAATGATAAACGTTTTTTGTCAATTGTTGTTTATGCACAAATTATCATTCATTACTTTTCACAGTGAAAATAACAGTTACAGAGGGGGAAAGGTAAATGTGGTAACAAAATAGAAAACAGGAATTTTGCTGAGCAGTGGTATGGGACAAAAACTACTTTAGTAGTACAAAGTAACTTTAGTACTGATCAATACCAGTGTGACATTATTTTGAGGCCTAAAAGTTTTGTTTTTAGGCTAACAAATAATAAAAACAACTAATAGGCCACTTCCGAGTTCCAGAAAACCGCCAACTTTCAAAATGAAGCCAAGTGCACAGCCTTTCTTGTGAATATGAGCATTATTGCATGAGAATAAAAAATCATTTTCAGCACTTAACCTCGTTTTGATACAGAGACCCGGGAGAACTCGGAAATGGCCTATTGGTTTATAAAACACTCCTCTTGGACTTAAACAGTGCATTATGGGATAGCTAAAACCTTGTTGAGTTGTGAAATACAACTTTTAGAACTGATACCCTCTAACACTGAAAAAGTAAAAAGTTCAGAAAGGAAGTCAGACGTGACCCCGTTATTCACGTAGAGTACAAGAAAAGAGAGAGAAAAAAAGAAAGAAATATACAGTGGAACTTGCTTAGTCCCTGTACTGCGTTTCCCAGTCGCTGTCGGTCAATTCACTCCGGTGACATATTTGGCTTGGACTACGTGACCCAAAACGCTTTGGCCGCGCGGAAAAATGAGGCCTAGGGACAAGGCAACAGTGGAACCCGTTAATACGACCACCTTTGGACCATGGAAATTTGATCGCGTTTACCGGGTGGTCGTATTAACAAGGTAGGGTCACATTATGGTACAACATGCTTTAAACATGTACTGCGCATGAATACATTTAATTGCGCTCGAAATCATCCTTTTTACGGTCATTTTTCAACCCTAAAACCGCGATTCATTGCAACTGAACAATGTCTCCAAATAAAACCGAGTACATGGACCCAATGGAAAATGCCTGCTAGATTAACAGTCTTTTGTTTAAATTGAAATAAGCCTCGCTTGAGGTTATGTATTCTTTTGAATTTTGCACTGAATAACGAGGCTAGTCAGGTTAATTTTTCTTAAATTTCACCTTAAAGGTTGGTTGTCCAGTCAATATAAAATGAGGAGAGCAATACAAAAATTACAGAAGATATACCGTAAAATTCCGAAAATAAGCCCCGGGGCTTATATTTTCCAAAGGCTCTTTTTGAGGGGCTTATTTTAAGAGGGGCATATATTCGGAAATTTGCGTTTCAAAATCGATTGGGCTAGCCTTATAGTTGGAAGTAAATTGACCTTTTGTGCTTTGTTTTACTTTGTATTTGAGAGGAATTTTCCAAAGCCCCCGGGGGCTTGTATTTGTTCGCGGTAGAGAGCAGAAATTACAACAATAGCTATTTACCTTAAATTGCAAGTAAAAACCATCAACTATATGAATTTGATCGAAAACACGGAAAACAAGCCAAAAATTTACCAATTGAAAATAAGGATAGAGGTCATTTCCTGGAAATCTAGGCAAGGGGTCAAGTTGAGGTTGACTTTGATATCAAACGATGCGATATTTTTTTTTTATGAAAGCAAGCCTTTGAGGTTGAAAACCTTAATTAAACATTATTTTACGATATAAGGGTTGTCGTGGCAGTGTACTAAAATAGAGCGTATTTGTTTAAGACTGACGAGTTCATGACAGGAGAAGGAATACTAATATAAAATGTTGACGACTATTTTAAACAAAAGCTAAAAGCTAAAATTTCCATTGCTTGCATTTTTATTGTTGAACAAATTGTTAAAAGGACTTTTAGACGGGGACTAGCTGTAGCCCTTTAACAAAGACAACTTGTTCTTGACTCACTGGATATTTTATTGCTCGAGAGAAGAATCTCTTTTGCCTCTTGCGTCCTGCTAAATAAGTGCTTCAAACGTTTTTTATATCAGCCAGAAAACCAGCTGCTTGCGGTGCAAACTAATGCTGACGTAAGACTCCTCTGATTGGTTAAAAGAGCCTCACTAGCATGAAAAATTCGAGATGATTATTTTCTCAAGATGATTTTGTTTTTCTATCTAAGTTTTCACTCTTAAGCTTAGGTCAACTGGCCAATACAAAAAAAGGGGCGCAATATATAAAAACTACAAGTTAAATAGGTGTTTACTTCTAAAACACCTTTTAAAAAAACATTTATACGAATTCAAAATTATCCATTGCTATGAAGTCGAGTAAAAACTCATGAAGTCACGCCAAAAATGGTTAAAAATAAGTATAAGATAGTCATTGCCTGGAAAATATCGACCTAGGGCCAAAATGAGGTCAAAAATGTTATATAAACTGAACAAAATGCGCAACACAAGGCTTTGTTATCTATGAAAACTCTAATTAAACATACTTTAATGAAAAGAAATGTCACCCTGGCGATGCACCAAAATGGGACATCGTTTTAACACCGCATTCATGTCAGGAGAAACCGTCTATCGATCATCATTTAAACTTATAAAGCAGAACTATGAGTAGTAAAAGACGGAGATAATCAACGGGAACGGCCCTCATCGATCAACATTTTCTTTTAACGAGACCAAAGAGAATGAATCAACAGAAAATCATTTTCTCATTTCGGGAGAGGACGCATTTGATCAGTATCGAGACGTATATAACGTAGGAGTTGAATACCAAGTAAAATGAGTCAAATTGTTCAGTTTTTATATGACCCTTCACATATAGATATTTCCCAAACCAAAAGACAACTTGTAATAAATCCCGAACACCAAACAAAATTCCTTTAATAACTTTTTAGTCAAAACATGCGCACTACGAATATTTTCATCGCTTCCATTTTTATATTTTAATAAATACTCCCCACTTGGACGAGCTGTCCCCAGCCCCAAATAAGGAAGAGAATAATCAGAAAGACGAACTACGTATAGCGTTATAGACCCATGAGAATTCCCAACACCAGAAGTTGAAAACCGATTAGTATACATTTTGGATCGCTTTCTTTTTTTTAATTTTGTGTTTTAAAGTTTGTTGTGTGGAATATAGGTTCGGCTAAAGCTTAACGAGATGTGGAAACCGTCAACATTCGAGGTGGGTACTGATGTTCTGTTGTTTCACCGTTACGCGTTACAATACCCACAAAGTGAAAGATGCGAAACCGTTATGAACGACCTGAAGTAGAAGCCATAGAAAGATCTGGGAATGTCTCATAAAGGCGACCCAACCAGGCGATGCGGAAGGAAGAGTGTAACGTCATCCTCTTGAGGAACCCACAAAGTAGTTGACTCACTCGTCGGGATCGGGTGTTGGCGGGGGAGGTGGAGGATAGGAAACCCATGCCACTCACAACAAAAAGAAGTCATTCCCGAGGGAATGTTTGGGCTGGAAATATGGTAGGGATGAATAGTAACCCGACAGCGGGGGCAGGTATGTCGGACCGCCTGGGTGGCAAAACGTAAACCACCCAAATAAGGCATTCTTCGTGGATGTACTTCTGACAACTAAAGAAGCTAAGAGGCTTCGAGAGATGTTCGCTTGGCAAATGAAGGCAGGTAAGGCGCGCCTTTGCATGTTCTGGTGTGGGCTTTCTTCGGCGATCTTTACGCATCAGGCGCAGCTGTGGTGGGGAAAAAATTACAAATCAACAGAATAGACCATTTAATTTTACAGCTGTGGACTCAGTACCCTAGCCTCCGAGTGAAGGTGATAACCTCCTTTGCTTTGTTATGGAAATTATCCTTGAAAAATACTAGTTAGCATAAGAATAACTTGACTTACATAATGAAGCAAGAAGGTTTGTATCAAAACAAGGTCAACTCCAGCCTCGCTTCCATCCATAACTGTAAAATGGCTTATTAGATTTGTCGATTATTTTACTGACAGACACTTAGCTTTGCCAAAATGACTTCTCCATAGTTTTATTCACTATATAATTGTTGATACGTTTATAATTTGTAGTTTAAGACGTTTAAGTCTAGCGCACATTTAGCCGTGTCATAGTTAATTGAGTGGAATGGTTATGAAACCCGTCAGACTCCTTTGTTATATGTTTTTGTGGACCTGAAAGTGCACAACGTTCAAAAGAATTCCTATCATTTTGATTGTATTGACCAATAAAAACGTTGCATTAATTTATTCCGTAACAATTTGCCAACAGAAAACAAAGGATTGTGCACTTTCACGGTGCTTTGAACATAAACTGCTGCACTGTTGTTTTTATCATTGATGTTTGCCGCTTGTCATAACCAGTCTCCTCTAATAACTATGGCCGTGTTAAATTACAACACACAAAGGACAGTTTGTGTAGATTGCAAATTATGGTTATTCATAGCGGGAAATTTGGAATCTGGCATCCAGTACCTGGAAACTGGAACCACGGCATGGAATCCAGAATCCAAGACTGTCTTGGATGGCCAGAAACTCATTTAAATGACTACTGGGTATTTTCCAAGATGGCGGATCAGTCATCGCTCATTTCCAGGTCCTCATTGCGGCTGAATCAAACTTTCCACTCTGGTCCCTTTCCCTTGACTTAACCGCCACCCCCCATTGTGGGGCAAACCACTAACCGATGCATAAATGCGTTACACGTTGCGTAACCTAAATACCAATGGAGAGAACGCAACGAGCATAAGTAAATTAAAACAAAACTAATACTTACAAAATAGATTACAACATAAATAAATTGTTTTGAATTCTTTCTTTTATGCAGCCTCAACCCTCAGGTGGGGATCAAGGGCAAACTGCTAAAGCATCATATGATCACCAAGCAGGTAAATATGGAGACAAACTTGAAAATACAACACCAAGAGCTCAAATATTTCTTGAAAACTGAAAAACCTGGAAATGTTCTTGGAGATGGTGAGTGCTCATTTGGGTTATGGCATAGATGAAATTCATTCATATATTTTTCTTGTTAGAAAATGATGAGGAGATTTATTTTGACCCCGGAGATCTTATCACTGAAGTAGATCAATCTGATGAAAGATGGTGGAGAGGACGTGGTCCTGATGGTAGATATGGCAAGTTCCCGTCTAATTATGTAGAGCTTGTTGATGGATCAAAACCAACACCAGAAGTAACAGCCTCTGAGGTACTTAAGCTGGGCAATGCCTTCTAAAATATGACCTGAAAAGCTGATTTTTTATTTTTGAATTTTAAATGTATATAATGACATCCTGCAAACATATTTGGTACCAAAATCTTGATATATTTTTGACATTCTTGACCCCTAGGAAAGTAGAGTATTAACTAATTTATCAGGGTGGAAATCTGCCAGTATCATTACAACTTTGAAGAACCCTCAAAGTAGCCAGGTTTCTTCGCTTGATCCCCTTCTTACGTTTAGGGATCGAAGTACCACGAACAAAGTTTCCGTTTCGTATCATGCGTTCAACTTTGTTCCTGTTCTCTCAACTAGTTTTGTTTCTTTGTCGCTGTCGCGTTCATTTCCTTCATTTTGAAATGTTACCCTTTGTTTCACCTTTATTTCCTTTATTCAAAGTCTTTTCCATTAAATTCGCGTTAATTAAGTCGCGTTTATTTCTTATACCTTCATTTCAAATGGAGCTTTAATTCCAGATCTGGGTAGTGACACGTCATCAGTATGGAATTTCTGCGCTCGTTTCTCAAACGTCATTTGGCGGGGAAACCAGTGGTAGCGTCGCCAAATATCGGCTGTTTTCTCAGGCCAGAAAACAATGGAAAAATAAACATTACCTGAGATAAGAAATTAACTATAACAGCTATGTTCACACTCTACCGGATAGCTTTTGCGTCGCCACGAAAACAATACCTGATAGGGCTTATGTTCACAAACAAGAACGGTTGTGGCGGCGCGATCTCTGTGACAGAGCGAAGCTACGCCGCGCCGATCTTTAAAGTGGAAAGTCACATATCGGATAGGTGTTCACACTATACAGGATGGCTGTTCGGGGCTGCATGGAATGCCATCCGGGGATATAGAGTGAACTTAGCCTTGCCCTGATGGCTGGGTGACAAAGTGGAGCAAAGTTTCTTAATTAACAAAGGACAAATCTCAATGGCAAGGCTTGAACCGAGACTGAAAGATCTAAAGTTTGACATATTAAAATTGATGCTTGGTGATGCCTCCGTCCTGAGGGGTACTCCCCTAAAATTCATGTACCTAAATATATGGATGTAACCATCATGTGCAGCCCAATAAGGTTGTGGTTTTGGGCTCCAGTTCCTTTTCTAATAAGATGTCATAATTTATGAATTGATGTGTGCATGCCAAAATAATAGCCAGCACCCATTTTACTTCGTTTTCATTAAAAATTATTACCATACACTAACTGAAGTTTTTCCCGTAGGATGAGCCAGGTTTACAAGCAAAAGTACTCTTTGACTATCAAGCAAGTATGTTAAAGTGTACATTTAAGTGTATGATACTGTTCTATTAATACAAGTGTACCTCATAGGTATAAGAGACGTGCAGCTGGTGTTAGTATCAACTGTAACATGAGCAGCTCAACAATATCTTATAATATGAGAAGTTGAAAGAAGGAAATAGGAAATGCAACGATCATAACAATGTTTGGATCAGGGTAGAAGAGAAATGAGTGTCTCGTTATTAGTGTGTGTAATTATTTGGACAACATCGTGTTTCTTGCTATAAGTTTACATAGCAGAAGATATACAGCAAATGAATTTCTTGTTATTTGTGTTACTGTTTGATATCGAGAAGAACGTTTTTCTTTTGCTTTGCTAAAAGTTTAAAAGGAAGAAAATATAAGAGTGGTTTACAGTAAAAGCAATTGAAAAATGGACGCGCAATGTGACGTTCAAATAAAATTTAAAACAAATACGTAACGTTACATGGGCACGCTGACTTTAAGAGGTTCAAATAAAATTAAAATCCACTTTCAGTTCAGCTGGGTCAGGCGTCCGGTGTCTGAATATCGATTCTGCATTTGAATATCATTCGGCCGTTTGATGGCATAATCCACGTTTTCGCTGACACGATGTAGACTACGAGTAGTCCCCCATTTTTCCTCAGGGATAGTAGAGCGAGCGAAACGCGAAAGGCGACACGCGGCGGGGAGAGAGAATTTTTCTCTCTCCCCGCCGCGTGTCGCCTTTTCTCGCGTGGGGTGATTTTCACGCGCGCTCGCGTTTCGCTCGCTCTACTGTCCCTGAGGAAAAATGGGGGACTACTCGTAGTCTAGACACGATGAGCCGTACAAAACATGCTGAGCATGATGATATTTAAAACGACAACATGTCATTGTGACGTTTCAGCGCAAGGAATCATGGTAAAAATCCAGTGCATTAAGTCCCTTGACCACCTTGATTGACTGATCATTAATGTTAAAAGCAGAGCATTATCAATCTCAAGATTCATATTTCTTTATTATTTTCACACACTTATTGCAACATCAGATCCATAAAAAAGAGGGATAATAAAAAGTATGTGCAGAGGAGGTCTGTAAACAAAAACCGTGCAGTTAAAAAGTGTTCACATGCACCTGATCTCAGTAACTTAGAAGAAGAAAATGTGCCTTTCAATTTAACTTAACTGGCAAACACACCTGGGGTTGGGGCATAATCGAGACTTAGGACTTAATTATAATTACTTTTGTGGTGTTTCACACACACCCCCACACCCACACCTACACAATGAATTATTAGAAGGGGGCTAAATACCTTAACCCCTAAGACTGAGTGACATCCAGTTTCTCCTAACGGCAACATTATCAAAAAAAGACACAAGAAAAATCAAATGATCAACAGGTAAAAAAGGTTGTGATTTAAAGAAATTCTCCCCACCAGTACCTTAGCAAATTGTATGAAGAACAGTGTGGAGAAAATGCATGCTGATATAGCAGGGCTCATAATGGCTGGGGCTGAATAGAGGATTATGCAAAGCGCCCTTGGTTTGAACTAACCAACTCTTATTATGTTTGTTCACAGCTGATGATACAGAGATTAATTTGAATATTGATACTATCATCACAAACATCGAACAACTTGATGACGGCTGGTGGAGAGGTGAAGCTCCTGATGGTAGTTATGGTTTATTTCCTGCTAACTACGTTGAACTGATTTAGTAGAGTTCATATCATAGCCTCTTCACAGACCGTCTATTTTCCCTTCAAAGTCCGTCGAGCGCGCGTGATAAAAAATAAAAACCGCCGGGGATTTATTGACCTCCCGCGCAAGGGGATAACGGTAGGGGAAGAAGGAAATAGTTCTTTATTTTCAATGTTTCGAAATGTTTGTTTATCTTAATGTAACTAAGGGAAAAAAATCAGTTACCAGTAGTTATAAGTTTGTCTACTTGTTTTTGAAATGGAATGCAAAATCCATGAATGAAAGATTTTCACCGCAATGGATATTTGTGTTCCATTCAAAACGTTTTTGTTGCTGATTCCAGTGCAGTTTTTTCAACCAATGAAATATTTCAAATTACCATGTTTGATTGAAATTTTCTCATGTTGGGACTTTCATTAAATCCACGCAAGGCTTGTTAATTTTATCTTAAAACATTGACAGTAATTGGGCATTCTAGAAAATTTTTCATAGTTTTAAGAAGATATGCAAACAATATGTGTGTAGTGTGTAACTGTCCTACAAGTTTAATAAAATAATTTCCAACCAATAGAGATACCAGTCCAGTGACAATAGATTAACAAAAATTTAATACGTCCATGCTGTATTTTACTTTTACCCACAAACAGCTGGAGAATAATTTTTGGAGGCTGTCGCTTACGACTGAATCTTAGTCTATGCCCCTTTTAGTCTGCTTACCAACCTTTTATTTTCTCTATGGTGATCCTTGAGCACTTGTATGAAAATAAACCACAGAAGATTTATACAGGGTTGTAGAATGCTAGTACAACGGGAGGAGAGGGGAGGGTAAATGAGACAGGTTTTGCAGTGCTCCGCAGATGTTTGCCACCCATTGAATTCCTCAGAAAAAAATAAAGAAAAAATGCCTGGAGAATGTAATATGCTGCCCTAGGCAGATAGTTTTCTTTTACACCCAAAACCCAGCCAAAAGGGCCTGTTCATTTGTTATACCTGGAAAGACATTCATCCTCCTTTGATGTAACTTTGGAACTGTAAAATTTCCAAATTCAGCATTCGTTGTCACAGTTTCTTTGGATCCACACTGTTGTTGGTCCCAATTCTTGACACAATAACAGCCTACAAGAGGGTCTGTCATTCAGATTTATCAAATAACAATGTTGCTTTCCACACTGCTGGGTCAAAATTCAAATTCAGCTCTTGGAAAAACACTATTATTTAAGACTTCTTGTTTTGACTGTCACGAAAAAGCATGAATGCAACACCAGCGGCAACAGCAACAATTGTGCCTCCTTGGGCTGCAACTCTCGCTCTCATCATGTACTGTTGCATCTTTGTATCACCTCGTATGAATGAAAAAAGACCATATGTCAATGCTCCAACAGTGGCCAGTGCACCTGTTTGGAAGAAACACAATACTGATTAAAACTACAAGACAGAAACTGCATCGTAAAATGGTGTAATTATCACTTCTTACTGATATATGGTTCCAGACAATATCCACTCCCCCCCTCAATGAAAAGGATTTGTTCTATGACCTCCTTCCTCCCTTGCAGAGATTCCAGTTTTTGAGTTAATCTCTTCATATTGCTTTAAATGAATATGAATCTTTGAGACCTCACTCCACCTTAGAGTTTCCAATCACTTTGGTGGAGGAAGCATGGATATTTTCTGGGGCTGCATAGTACAGCACAACTGGAATATTTCTTGTAGAACCTTGTGAAGCTCAGGGGAAAGGGCCAACTGTAGGAAATACAGTGGAAACTCGATTTAACGAACCTCTATACAACGAAGTCCTTGGTAAATAACTAATGATTTTTTTCAGCCTGGCCAAAACTACAGTAAAATGTATCGAACAGTACCTCGAAATCGAAATCCTCGTTATAACAAACACAATCCAGAAGGACAATCATAAAAATATGCCTCAATATAATGAATAAATGTCAACATGTGATAAAAGATGAAAGCCAAACAGACCAACAAGGGTAAAATTAATGTGTACAGTAAAAGAAAAATGAAAGATCTAGAATTTTTGAACATTTGTTGTAAAAAACAGAACATCAAAAAGTGGTATAAAATTTTTTAAAAGGTCACCTAGTAGCCTTTTTTCTGGCTTTTTCGAAAAGGTAAGTTTTGATCCCTATAATATTCGGATCACTAGACTTTCAGCTAGGAAATCCGAACAGATGAAAAATTTAAGGGGATAAAAATATGCCTTTATCTACCGTTTAAATACTAAAATAAGTTTAACAATGCTATGTTTAAGTGCTTTTGAACTATATTCTCGTTGGTTGCCCCTGAGTTTTTTAGCAGTTTGTTTCCTCTTCTTGAGTTTCTAGTACCATAGCTATGCACAGCTATGTACACCAGGTATTACAGTAATTGTTCAGATCTGGGATTGCTGGGTTTTGTACATTAATTACCAACTATACATCGATATAATGAACCAACTGTTTTTAAAAATTACGTAAAAATATCTTTAAAAACCTTTCATTGGAAAACAAAAAAAGTAAAATCACTCTACAGGGACTGGAGCCCAGGACCAAAAGTATGGGAAGGTGCCATCTTTGTCACACAAATATCTTTCAACCTCATTGGATATAGCTCAGGTGAGAGGACAAGAAAGCTCTTTGTTGTAGACTTGTTTGTTGCTGTTTTCTTGCTAGGAAATTGGCAGACAAAACCAGGATGTATAGTCTTAAAGTAGGGAGGGGGCATGGGGTAATGGTTACTCCTGAAAAATTAAGTGGGTAATGTGCAACGTGTTTCCTGAAACCCTAGCCCTATTTCAGACCCAAATATGTGATTTTTCCCTTCCCTGTTTTCGACATGAATCTCAGCTCTCATGGGATGGTTAGGTGGTCACTTACATCGCTCGCTTTTGTTTGCTTCGTATCCCTCGTGCCGTTAGTACTCACGGAGTCGACTTGTGGCTAGTCTAGAGATGCGTGTAATACATACATAATTCTAGGTCCTGGTACCAGAAGGCCCTAAGCCTTACCCTACGTATACCCAATCTCAGAGAGAAAGAAGTCCAAAGCCATACTCTTTGACACTGCACATTACCTTTACAGCTAATATCAGAGAGTATCCCATGGTCCCCCTCTCTATCACCTGAAACAAGTAACAGGACTGATTCTCCTTAGTCCTGTCTTCTGTTTCAACTGCCTTAGTGAATATCGATTTAATTTAATACAGGCTAAACTGCAAAATACCCACACCTTATTTACATCTTGTTGAATAACAAAAGTACCAATTTTTCCAACAAGTGGCTGGCTATACTGAAGTTTCTCTTTATCGAGTGAACTTTCCATGGAAATTTCTTCATATGAAGAAGCATTCCACTTAATATCCCCCATTTATTGATGAGGTAAGTTGACTTTTATCCTCAAAGAAAACAGGTCATACTTTAACTGTACCCCCTCCCCCCTCCAAGGATGGTAGGATTTAGAATAAGGGGTTCAGATTTTTTCTTCAAAGAAGCCGACAAAACTTAGACCCTTCAGTTTTCATTTTTCAAAGGGCGCTGACACAAATTTAACATTTCGGATTCCAGCAGCCATCTTTAGTGGGGAAGGGGCGGATCAAAAATGTAACGTCCCCTAATTTGCAAACTCCCTGAAGTATTTGTGGTCAGAGGAATGGCCCAACATTTATGTTATGTAATAATCGTTTGATTCCTGGCATCGTTTATTGGTATCAGCATCTCATTTTTGACGGAACAACACTAACCTATAGGAACGATGGGATTCTGCTTAACCTTCCTTTTCAATTTTTCACCCATAGTTTCTGGTGGAGGAGGGGGAGTCCACACAAAGAATTTCTCCATTTCTTGTTTCAGCTCCGGGCTCATATCAGCGCTTGCATTCGCTGCTTTTCTCTCTTCTACTCCTCGAGCTTGAGCATTTAAAAGACGTTCTTTCATCTTTTGTGCCTTCTCTTCACGTTTCACTGAATCATTTTGATGTGTCTGTTCTTTTTGCTCAGTCTGATTGTCTATTTTCGCTACCTCCTTTTCTGCTAAGGGCGCCATCTTTGAAATGTGACACCCCCTGGAATCATGGGAATTGTTGCGCTGTTATAATCAGCGGCTTCCTCCATGAAGGATACCCCTGTACCCAATACATGAAGTACTTATTTTTGAGAACAAGATGGCGGCGCGTGTTTGTTCAGTTTCGAGAGGAGTGTTTTCTTGTCCTGTTTTGCCATCTCTGCGGAAAATCTGCTCATTATTTAGACGACAAGGTGCACTTAGAAATCCATATAATGTAATACAGTATATGAGTTGTGAAGGTTATCGAATGTGTTCAACTAGGTTCATGAACAAAAACGTCCACATCGGATCCGGGAATTACATCATTAGGCATACATGTACATTTTTTAAAGCTTTAAAAGATACAAGATTGTGCGGTTTTTCATTTATTCCACTTCCCCCATTTTGATTGTATTATGGATTAAGATTATGGTAAAAAGCTTGTATTGATTGAAGCTAGTCAAGAAACTAGGAAATGAATATAACGATATTTTAGTTACTATATAGTATGTAATCTTCTTCCAAATATTTTTGTAATATTTTCTGTTTTACATCTTTCTTGATTTAGGCCTTGAGTTTCAAAACAAGTTAACAAAATTACCAAGTCATAACTTCCAGACCTCAAGATTTTCTACCTTCGATGTCCAAGCAAGTGCCTTGAGAAGTTGCGCACACAGCATGAAATTTCAACTTGCGGGGCAGCCACTCAAATTCCAAAGTGTTTATCCATTTGATTCTGCACCACGGTTCGTGAAACAGATTGAGCAGACGAGTCAAAAATCTTGCTTTACGATCATCAGAAGGAGCATCAATACAAAGAGTAAACTGGGCAAGCGGAAAACTTGCAAAGCTGTTGCTGCTAGATTTTTGAGAACTGGCAACGGAAAACTGAAAAGGTGGAGAACAGGAAAGAGTCACAAAATGATGCACAAAGGACCCAAGAGAAGTCGTCATTTAAGAAAACCAACTTATGTAAATAAACAGCAGCTAAAGCTTTTGAACAAAATGTTAAATGGCTGGTGAAAACTCTGCAACATATATTCTGTGCTTTTTGAGCGTTACTTACCTCTGCTTCAAAAGCTGGAAATGTCTGAGTGAACATTGGACAGGTATCATCTCTATCATCACTATGCAGGTTACTTTCTAATTTTGTGTGGGAAATTTTTGCATTATTGCACAAGTATACAATTATTGTTTTTTATGACCCTGGCAGTTGCACCTGCAAATTATGAACTGCTAAAGAAGGTCTCTGGTAAAAATCCTATGTAGGATCCTCTAGGATGTTAAGATCTGCAGGATCCTAAACAGGATAAAGGATCCTACTCAGGATCTTACAGGACTTAAACAGGGATTTAGAATCCTTTAAGGTCCTAAGCAGGAACAAACTGCTACCCAAGATCCTAAACAGTTCACATCAGTTACTATATTTTATTCATTAATAGCCCATCAAGACTGGGTACTTCTGATGAAATGGCTTTTTGCAGTAACCCAGACATATTCTTCTGGCTAGCTTGGGGTAATGATAAAGTTCTCCAATGGGACAGGACTTTACATTCCTTTGTTCGACAATGAAAATGGCTGTCTCTGCCAAGAAAGATTGTTGAGATCCAGAAATTTGGCTCCAATGGTAATGTGATATCACACTTCTCCTTTGCATTGGCTCACATAAGATAGACAGCTTGTAACAACTTTCACATCTACAGAACATGACAACCCTGCCTACTTCCTATACTGATCGCTTCCCCCCACAAAAAAAGAAGAATTTGTTGTGTTGCTTTTATGTTGCTGGCCAGGGATAATAATAGGACAGGGAAATATGAACAATATTCTTTGACAATGAACGAAAGCAATCAACAATCATTCCATAAAAAAATATTAAACCTGAGTCCCTTTCAGGTATTTAAAGCTCATGTTTATTGATATCAGTGTTAACTATTACAGTAATAGAAATACTCCATACAACTACAAAATTAAAAAAACCTAATATTCCTCAATGTCACGGACTTAGCAATGAACTCCTTGTTGATACTATTATAAATTTGACTCTACTTGCATTATACTTTCCTATTGTCAGTTTTATTTGTAATTTGCTCTGTCAATATTCTTCATAAATGCACCTTGGTTAAATAGAGGGTAATGGGAAAAAGTATTTTTCAAAAATAGTGCAGTGATTGACAATGTTGCTATGGTATTGTTTCAAACTGTAATACAACACCTACAGTGGTGAAATTTTAATTGAATCATTGGCCATTATGCACGATTTCATAAGACGGACAAATTTCACCACCAAGCTTCATTTCTGAGCAAAATCCTTTGCATTTGCAGCCTTTGTGTGAGGGTATTCCTTTCAACTCTACTGTCTTGAGAATCCACCCATGCAAAACTTCGCAACTCAACAATATCGAAACAAGGTTTGGTCGTGAAGTTTGCTCATCTGAGATAAAAATTGACTTTAAATGCCACCGATGTGCAGCCTCATTCTGATAAAGAGACTGCAAGTTCACTTGGTATGTGGAAGAGGTGGTGGGGAACTGTGGTTGGTCATTCGAACTATCGAATGGGATTGACAATTTCTGCATGTCTAATGAGCAGCAAAAGTGAAGTTTTCTTTCACTTTTGACCTAAATAATCATAATTCTTCCAACGCATTCAGTTTTTGATGAGGGCCTGATAGTGACTTTTGACGCGTGAAAAGCTTTTTTATAGTCCAGGCTGTTTTGACAAGCACCTCAGCCGATTGAGCTATAATAGACTCTGACCCTCCAATATCATGAACTAAACTGTGTTTTTCCTTGCTTTCAATGTTATCTTGTAAAGTAACGTCACGGTTATAGTCTTGGTCAGCGTCCTCAGTTTTCAGACAAGTGCTTCCTTCTTGTTCCATTCCCTCGGGTTTTTCTCTTTGTCCTTTTGGAGTTTCCCGCACGAGCCCACTGTGATGAATGTCAGCGTGCATTATGTCATCGTTAACGTCATCAACTGTTATTAGGTCGTAGATAATGGGTGTGTGTTGTGGGTCATTGTCATTCGTTTGGCTATCGTCCTTGTTAGACCTATCGCGGAAATATTAAGTTAAGTTTGGTCAGTTAACATTAGCACAGCTGTTGTACTATTGAAGACGAAAAGACAAATTGTGCATTGCGCGGAAAGGAGGAAATTCTTCAATGGTTTTTAGACCTGTTTTAGAATCATACCTCCAACTTATCGTATCGCTTATTACCTTCTGCAAAGACAAAATGGCCACCAAACGTTGCCAATGTAAGAGACAATAATTGTAACGTAGGGGTACCTCTTTGGGGCCTCTATAGACTTTTGTGAAGTTGCGAGAAAAACGTAAGGGTTACCAGCTTTTTACCTTGTCATATTTCGTAAATTATCGTAGCATTATAGTAATGATGATCGTATTTCTGATGATAGTTTTTAACTTTGGATAGAATTAAGTACAAGTAAGTTGGCATTCAAACGAACTAACGCAAGTTGAAGAAAGTATATCCGTCCAAAGTATTTACGAAACGGAGGTATCTTTGCTGTTGTTGTAGTTACCTTGGAGATCTAACGCCCGTCTCGCCATCATTGGGCTCGGAAGGAAGAGCTCCTAGAGAAAAAAACATGTCAAAAAATTATACGAAGGAGCAAACAAAAGAGCTATGGTTAGCCTAAACTGAACTCCATTCCTGATTGCAGCAAGAATTTGCATTAGAAAAATGAAATTTTAACCGGTACAAGAACGCTGTTAAATGTCTTACTTTTTAAACAATTTTATGTATCCGTCCAATATTTTAGTCATGCCTAGAAAGATACTGCATATTTCGCTAAAATAACGGACCGCTAAAATAAAGAAATGTATGCGGTAACCAAATTTTAAGGTATCACATCTAACGTATTTTTTCCTTAACTACTCGAAAAATGTAAAAAAATAACTATGGAAATATGTGTATGAGAGCCATAATAACTCGTTACAGGATTTTTAAAATTTATTTCAACTTACGCCTTTTTGAAACTTTATCTTGCAGCGACGGCAACGGTCTTTTTCCACTCTGAAACGATAAGATGATTATGATAAAATGGGGTCATTTGATATAAACGTGACCGTCGCTCGTACATTGACCTACGTCCTGTGTTTTACTTTTCAATACCGTCGAATCTTGCAGCTACACTCTTTTTATCATGGACATGGTCAATAGAGATTGAATTAAAGATATCAGTTTTTCATAGCTGAAGTATCTCGCAAAAATGGCTGAAATGATAATGAATGGATTAAAGTAGTGTATGACGCATGTTTTATTCCTCTTTTTGCGTTTTGCACAGTAATCTCGTAAGTGTGGCTGAAACATTTACCGCCTTTTTGCCTTGATGCCTGATTTATTTTCCCGGTCGAGTCAAGGCCGACCAAAGAGAGACAAATAAAAATAAACAGTCTATTAAAAGTAGAAACTGAAACTAAAGTAGAAGAAAGGCAAAAATACTTACTAATAACGGTTTAGAAGACAATTCCTTGGGTTCACTTCCATCTGAGTGATTGCAATGATCGGTGGTGCCATTAATAGTTCTCCCTTCCTCTGGTTGTGCAATATTCGCTTCGCTGGCGTAGATTTCACTCCCTTGACTGGGCGTTTCAATGCTGCCATTACTATAACACAACAGATCATTTATAGCAAAATCTGTTATTTCGCTTCTACACTCATTGCTCTTCTGTGTAAGGTCTGAAAGAATCTCAAGTTCTAGATCACCCTTAGTTATACGCATCGAAGTACATTCTCTCTGAAGGTTTGTGTACTCCCTCTTAACTTCCTCAAGTTCATCCTCCAACCCTTTTTTCTCTATAAGTACATCTTCCAAAGCCGTTTGCAGTTCGGCTCTTTCTTGTTTTACGGAAACAAGCAACGTTGCCATTGCTTTCTTGTCAAGCGTGTTTTGTTGTAGACTCTCCTTCACAGCGACCTTTAACTCAAGGGCAGCCAAATTGCTCCGAAGCTCGGCTACTGTTTCTTTCAAAGTATTTGCTTCTTCTTTGAAAGAATCATTTTCTGCAGTGAAGTCTATTAGATCGCTATCAACCCTTGTATAATCATGAAATATCCCACTGGTAACTTTTTCTTCACGCGCATTTTTAACCCAACCCATGAGCTTGCTCTTTAGCCTTTTTTGGTCTTCATCAATTTTAACTAACTGTTGTACGATGCTCTCGATGCCCTCCAAACGACTTTTATCTGCTTTGGTAATCTCAAGATGTCTCTGAAGCTGCGCTTTTTCGGCCTCCAGCAAATCAATTCTTTCTTCAAACATTTTTATTTCAGGCAAATTGACTCCCTGTTCTTGATGGAGTCCGCCTGGAGTTTGTGTGGCACATGATTTTTCAGCGTTGTTTATGAACTCGTACACCACCTTTTTCTCGTTTTCGACTTCTTTCAGCGGAGTACTACCATTATCTTGGTTTGGATTCTTGGCTTGACCTTCCAAGACCGCTATTTTCTCTTCCAAAGAAAACTTCTCCTTGTATATTGTCAGCAGCTTCTCTTGCAAGTCAATAATCCTTTCCTTAGATTCTCCAAGTTCCAACTCTAGTCGCACATTTTCTTCGTAATAGCTGAAAGTATTTCCTCGTTTTCGTGAATCATCCGGAGACATTCGCACTGTCGAAAGTTCTGCTTCTAGCCTCGTGCTGTCTTCGCGAAGCGACGATAATTGTGTTCCTAGGTTTCTCGTCTGCATGTTGGACAAAGTTAGTTCCGTTTTAAGGCGTACAAGCTGCTCTTTGGCGCGCGTCAGTTCCGAGTTCAGCTTGTTATTTTTTCTGATCTGCGATCGTTTTTCTCCACTCAATTCTCGTGTTCTACCATCGGCCTGCGAGACGTTTTCATTAGGTGTACGCTTAACAGTTGGCAAGCCTTGCAAACGTCTTAGACCATTAATTTCCTTCACCATATCGTCTTTTTCTGCTTCAAACTTACTAATACACTCCTGAAGTTTCTTGTAGCTCTCCTTTGACTTTGATAACTCCTTTTCCACTTTACTCAAGCAGTTTTCTTTAATCTTCATCAAGCGTCTTTCTTCCTCGATTTCCAGGGTTTTTTCTTGACATTTCGTCTGGTAAATACTCTTTTGTTCTCTCTCCAAAGCAATTTCTCTTTCGCTATCGACTCGCTCTTGGCGCAATTTTTCTTCCAATCCAATTTTTTGCTTTTCCATTGACTCTTTTTCGTGTTGTGCTTCAGCAAGACTGGATTCTAAGCCATCTAATTCTTCTTTCAGTTGATTGTTCTCCGCTGTGAATTGAATTAAATGCTCTTCTAACTTACCGCATCGCTCTTTTAACAGTTCAGATTCCTTGACAAGGTCCCTCTTTTCTTCTTCAAAGCATTCCACCTTTTCTTCCAAAAATTGTTGTTCTTTATTAGATTCTTCGTACCGTCTCTCCAGAGAAATGAACCTGTCCCTTAATGACTCCAGTTCACATCTCAGCATTTTATTTTCATTTTGCGTTGTAGGCAGTTCATGAAGCTTTTCTTTAACAATTACTTCTAACTCGCCTTTTGTTAGTGGCAAATTATCGCTATGTGTCTCACTGTAGATTTCTGTCATGCCATCTTTAAGATCACTTTTGCTTGATTCACTGTTGTATCGGTACTGCAGCCCTTTCGCAAGTTCTAAATTATCCATTTCAAGTTTAGCGATAACTTTATTATTATCATAAATCTTGATTTCTACGGCTGGCTGTTCGCTTCCGTGATGTGATAAGTCCGCGCCATCCGGTGGCATGACCCCGTCTTTCGGAACACCTTTCTGCTCGAACTGCGATTTCCCTTTCTCTTCCCCATCCATTTTCAAAGCTTTTAACTCGTTTACCAAGCCTTTCTTTTCTTCATCTATCCTTGCTCGAATGTTATCCAGCTCTGACTTCATTTTAGCGTTTTCAAGAAGAAGAACGGACCACTCCTCTCCGAGGCGTTTATTGATAACTGCTCTCAAAGATGAAATGTCAACCAAGCCGTTAGTTTGTAGGGCAGAAGCTGCTTTTTCCAAAGACGACGAGTAGCCATCATGCAAAGAGGACAGAATCTCTTGAATCTTAGCATCTTGAAAAAACTGCAACGGATTCGGCGGTTCTTTCTCTTTCACGGGTTCCGTTTGCGTACTCTTGACGTCTTGCTTACGTTGAATGCGTTCTTCCATTGCCTGTTGTAATTCTTGCTGCAAAGGAAACAAACATAAATTGCAATTTTTTACAAATCTTAGCAGGCTTTCCGGTAAATTAAGCTTTGATTCGATTAACTTTGGTGTTTCACCTTGAGGGGAGAGCGGCTGGAAAGCAAGTCCCTAAGGGAGACGCCTGTTTTAAAATCCATGAGAGGGGCTCTTAAGTTGAAGGGCTGGCCTAAACGAATGTTTGCCGGAAGAACAGGCGTAATAAAATAAAAGGAACTATAGATGAAAACTCTATCTGAGGAGGTCAAAATAAATCGACTTCACTTTTGCTTCAGTAAGAGTACTAGAGAGTCGAAATTTAAACGATGGTATAGAGCGGGCAATACTGCACCAAAAGCAAGTGGGACAATGCTTAGCAATCCTACTACAGCATTGCACGATAGCGGTATGAGGGTCACTGTAGTTAAAGTGCGACGGTGATGCTGCGTAAACTTTGCTATCTATCTGACAATTTTCAGTACAGTTTGGTACATATTCAAATTTATAGTGCTGGTATATACCGAGTACCCAGGCCTTTACTGCGTATGAATCACTTAACGGATCTTATTCTGCGTTTTTAGTCGTGTACATCTGATGAATGCAGAAACACGAAGGCGCATGTATCAGGTGTTAGGCGTCATTCTCTTTGAGAAAGACACTGTTACGCAAAAAAGGTATTCCATGTTTACGGAACAAAAATGTCTCAAGTGGATCGACAAGTAAGGAAGAAGAGAGGGAGCACTCATCAAGACCTGGAGATGAGTGGCTCTTGAAAACGGTTTCTCAGCTCCGGCGTGGGCCTCAATTGCTCTTGGCGGTGTTCGGCCTTTTGGTCGGCCCAGGGTCCCTCCCCTAGTTTCGCCAATGAAAGTTACAGCGCCGTGAATAGCATCTACGCCAGACTGCGTTTGAGACTGGTTTGGAGCTTATTTATTAGTTTTCGATGAGGATATTCGTTCTGAAATGGTTAGCCGATTTCCCATTACATTCATAGTTACTTCTTGTTTCATCTTCTCCAGCGAGTCATTTTGTTCAAGTTTCTAGATCTAAATGGTATTTGTTATGAACTGAAAGAGAATATAGTTTTCAATTGAATATTTTTGCTTGTAATCAAATCTTTGATATTGCTTACAGTTTTATATACAATAAATACAATATATGTGCATGAAATAAAATGAAATATAAAAGGTAAGATATGTTGCGTGCAAAAATGAACTAAAGAAAAATGAGAAAACAGGCTGGTAACAAAATACAAAACTAATTTCATTCTACGCATTCCAGCCGACACACCTGCCCGTCTTTCCCCCATGACGCTCTGGATAGATTATTCTTATTGAATGACTGCGCTTCTGTGGCTCCCATGCATAATTGACATTCAGATACTAAACTCCCATTTACTAACAGTGCAACTAGTAAGCCTATTAGGTGAGGTTTCTAGGTTTTTCTCAAGAGGTGTTTTGCTTTTCATAGTCGCAAAAGAAACCCTGGATAGCAAGTATGTCTGTCTCCTGAAAAACGTCCTGATTCTACTTATTCTGTTGATGATCGGCGAGATCACTGATTTATGGAACATATGACCCTTCATCAACTCCCGATTATGGCCAGGTAACAATATTAGCTCTTTCTCCTGGTTCCTCTAATTGCAGTGCAACACATCGAGGCGAATCCAGTCGAAGAACAAGTGGTCTTAATCTTGCCATCCTTGCAACATTTTTTAATCTTTTCACTTGCTGCGTCATTGTTCATAACTTCAGTGGTTTAACCGAAAAAACCGGGTCCGCAATACATCCAGAGTATCAAACCAACCACGAGGAATTCTTCTTGTCATAGTATTTGTCGCCAAACTGGGTTGGTAAATCAAAGAGACTGGAGAGGCTGGACGTCAGAGACGGAAGCGTCTGCATCATGTTGTCATAATGAGTAAATAAAACCAGATTCTTTAATCAGCCTTGATTTTTCTCCTGTTTATGTGGTCTAAGTTTCATCTTATCCCACAGGCTTCTCCGTGGACCCTGATGAATTGATAACACTTCCGTTGGTATTAAAATTTTCAATATTGATGCAATTCATTTTTGTTTCATTTCATGTTTTCAAATATTGCTTTGTCTTTCATTTTTTTTTGGTCAATATTAATCGCAATGAACTGACCAGCAGAGACGGATGCGGCGATGACAAGAGCTTCAATGTATCACCCGCGCATCTGGATTTTGAAGTCATGTAAGTCAGTTGTTTAGAGTCGTTGTTCAACTGTGCCCAAGCAGTCTCCTTGTACAACTACGGTGTTAGGAGGATCTGTTGTTACTGTATCTGAAGTCCAATGTGCGAGCAGTCGTGGTGGTCAAGTTGTACGTTACTACGTCAGTTTTCCATCGGTCTTCGTAAGCCGGATTGTTTAAGTACGTTATATATGTGTGTTATTGTATGTGCGGTGCGTCGCTTTGCAATTAGCTGCGTTAACCTGAGGCTAATTTCTTAACCATTATATTAAGAACAAATCAGAAGATAAACTAAAACCGTTCGTAGCTAGGAGGGCGATTTCCCGCGCGTTATCGCTGGATCCATGTGGCCACAGGCAACCAAAAGGAGACTGGGCACGCAAAAGGTGACAGAGAAATTCAAAGATAAAGAAGAGGGGTTGCTACGTACTTTGCCTTTGCGCCATTTTTTTGTCAATGCCTTCTCTAACGGTATATGTTACTGATTGTAAACAGACCTCTCTGCGGTATAAACATTTCACGAATAATTTGCGAAACACTACTGACTTCCGTGAAGTGGGTTTGAAAAAATGCCACTCTAATTGACCTAAAGTTTATTTTTGAAAAAAAAAAGGAAAGCAAAAAAGGAGGGAAGAGTTTGAGAAGCTAAATAATGTATATGAAAGCCTGCCGTATTATATCTTTACAAATCGAAATAGGTTTTTAATAAACTAGGCGTTTCTAAACCTATACTTGCATTTTTCCGTCTCCTGACAAAATATTACACTCAGAATAGTTTAGCAAAGCCTATCCATGCAAATAAGAAGCTCTAGGATAGACTGCGTAGCAAGGGCTTCCGCGCGAGTTCGTTTTTTTACTCACTTCAACTTTCGAGAAAATAATAACTCTAGCACTGACTCTTTCGCTAGCTCTAAGAAACTGTGACACTATGATTAATTCTGGAGAAGAGGAAACAAATAATCATCATCTCAAAAGCGACCTGAAGAGAAGTGACATTGCTCACCTTAACAGATGTAAGCTCGCATTGTAGCGTTTCTTTCTCTTGTTCTTTTGTTGCAAGCTCCTCTGTGAGCTTTTCATTACTTTCTACCAGGGTAGAAATTTCTGCTTGCAGTTTGTTGGAATTAAGGATGCTATCTTCCACGGATTCCTCTCCCTCGTTGTCACATTCGCTGTTCCTCATGTTGTAGAGCTGAAACACTGAAGATAGATCATCTTCGAGATGTTCTTTACTCCTCTTTACTTCGCACAATCTACTGGAGGTTTCGCTGAGTGTTCCTTTCATCTTCTCAACTTCGCCTTGAAGAACATGAATTTGTTTCCGCAGTGCTTCGTTCTCGTCCTCCAAAACGTCTTTCTGCTTCTGAATACCATGACAACGTCTTGTAATGATGTAATTTTCCAGAACCAAGAGCGCGCTTTGAAGGGCCTTGTCTATAATCACGTGACTATGACAGTGATCTAGCAGAGCAAGAGTGTCGGCCTGGAATTGCAACTCTGTTGGCTTCTGAAAATCTGAAGAACAAAGTTATTATTAGCTTAGTGCCAGGAAAAGAGTATTTTCGCCCCGATATAGATGACATCTTCCCTAATATTTTTCTCTTTCTCTCTATCTCGTATAGATTTAGTCACATCACGTTTATTTACACAGCAATGACGATTTCCAAATTTTGCAATTTTAACAGGACCACCGCGTCGGCAGGGACACACCATTGCGGAAAATTTACTTTCCCACTAATACGTATCGTGACTTTAAATGTCCACCCGGGCTCTCTCTTTGAATGTAATGTTATTCATCTCCAAAACTACCCAAGAAAATCTCTGTTACCCAAGGTAACACTAGAATCAGGACTTGATCATAACACTAGACAATTTATGATCCATTAGGTTCAATTTTTTAGTTTCTTAGGTTTCCTCTTCAAAACCCGTAAAAACCCTTTCAACAAATGCGTAACAAATCATTTCCAACTTTGTCTTTCCAACAACCGCCGCCACTTTCAACATCTGGGGACTTTGATGTAAAACTGTCATGTGCAATTTTACACACTTCATCTTTAATTAATAATTGGGAAATAAAAGAAAAATCCTGAACAGGTTCCTTAAATACACTTACCGAAAGCAGAGTTTCTTTGCTCAATAAACTCTTGGATCTTTTTATAAATTTCTCTTCTCGTCGTGTTCGTCGGATGGCTACCTTGCTCTTCTTCATCATCAAATTCAAAGACCTTCTTCAGGAAATTCAAAGCTTCACCGTCAATGCTGTTTTTGAGAGTAATCAATTTGTCCCTTAATATGGAGTACTGGTCAATATCACAACGCCTTTCTTCATTGGATGGTATACGCTCCTCGTGCGACTCGTGGTCTTCGTTGACTTGGTTACATCGTGATGACGCAACCACCTTATCATCGTCTGTTTTGTTTGCCAAGTACAAAGAGAAGTCTTCAACTTTATGGAGGATTTTTTGCTCTTCCATTACGTCTTGCGATTCAGCCAAGAAATGCAGGCTTCCGCAGTTTTCGAACATTTCTTCACTCTTGGCATTCATCATGTTCAGATAACTTTTGAACAATTCCAGTAACAAATCCACATTTTGAAGAACTTTGTTTTTCGCTGCGACAGATTCATTGGGACTATCTTTTACGTCGCGGGAATTTAACGCCCTCTCAGGAGAAAGAAGAACCTCATTAAAGGAATGCTCCTTTAGAGCGTAAAACAGTTGCATTGAAGTTATGTCGATTAATAGAGCGCTTCTTGCTCTAAACATGTCTTCCTGGAGTTTGTGTTTTACTGATGTAATCTCGCCTTTTTGTGTCTCATTGAGGGCTCTCTCTTCTTCTAAACGGGAGTTTAGACTTTCAATGTCGCTTTGGAGTCTTGATTCCTGTGACAAAGAATTAAAACGAGATCGTCAAAACTTTCTTTTTACTGTAGAAGTCAGGTAAACTACTGAACTTAATTGCTCGAAGGCCGATTAGCGCTAACCCAGGGCTAAATTTCAACCCGCGGAGTTCTTTTTCTTTTGTTCAAAAGCATTTACCCGTATAATTTCCTCTATTCTTTTTAGAGTGTCTAATCATCATACTGTAGATTCATATTTCAATTTAAATTTTGCACTAATCCTGGGTTATGTTAACCCTTCTGTGCATGTGAACAACCCAGCCCAGCTCAGACTCCTAACACCGGCCTATTCAGTAGAGGGGCTGTGTTACTGTTGTCTAGTTCCTTTTTGTTAACAATGCCAACAACGCATCGGTCGATATTCGTTATGGAACTTGAGAAATTACTCGTGCATGGCAAAATTACAGCTTTGTTTCAAACTGGAGTCATGTGTGCCAAGCATTATATATCAAACGCAACAAACAAAAAAACTGACTGTGAAAAACTGATAGGCTAACCGAGGTTTTCAGAAAGAAAAATCTCAATCCGTTTCAATCTTCTTCAAGTCTGTCCATCCGTGCCTATTTTTGTATTTGCTTTTGCCTTCTTTTGATGTTTTGAGCGGTTATTTTAAATTCAATGTTTCACTCAGTCAGGTGGCGTTCCCACTCGTCGCGGAATCTTTGATAAATTTCTTAACACTGAGCTCTTTTTGATATTAAAACCTGAACAAAGAGGGGTCCAATAAAGTTACCTGATCTTCACAGAGACTTTTCACAGATGCTATAACTTTGTCTGCTTCAGTCCTCGCGTTTGCTATTGTTGTCTCCGCCTCGTGTTTGATTCGTTCAATTCGATTCTCGAATGACTGCTTTAACTCTTCCAAATCTTTCTCTGTAGGATGCAAATATAGATATGAAGATAAATAATACTGTAAGAAATCACCTCTCTTTGCTTGTACCATCAGCGAGTTAATTCGGACACAATCCAAGTACTACTGATAAAGTTGCAGAAAGTCCGGTAAAAACTTAGCCACTATGGAAAAATCGAAATGTCGTTGAAGATGCGACGTTAAAGGTTTTTTTGTGGAGCTTCCACGAGTCAGAAATGTTGGACACTTTCCACCTCTTTTTACTGGAGCAACAAACGAACCTAAACTGATTTTACCTTTCATATTTACAATCTTGGACAGATCCTGGCTGAGCCTTTTGTAATCAACCTGAGAAAGAAACAACTCATAATCCTCACTGGATGGGTTTGCTCTGAAATAGTACGAAACTAGGATTTCTAGGTAACGGCCGAATATGAGGTAACCCTCATTGCAATTCACAATAATTGGGTATAAAAATGAACGTCATCTCACATAAGGAATCATCTACCATCTAAAAAACAAGTAATGCTCAGGTTAACGGAAATTAGTGGCCTCTCACCTCGACATTGATGTATGCAGTGTTGGTTATTTTCATGGCTCGGGAACCAAAAAATAGCGCGCTTTTCGTTTCACTCACATCACACATAGTTGGCGAAACACAAACCTGAAACAATGGCAAAGTATATATTTAATGATACAAAATTTCTACTTTCAATTCATGTCAAACAAGCTAAAAGAATGCTTAAATGGTAGACAGGTGACACTGTAAGCCTGCAGAATTCCAAATCTTACCACGAGACTTGTTTTGCAGTTTCCACCCAGACTTTCCTGAAGCAGCCTTGTGAGTGTGGAATTTCGAAATGGAACATGAGTCTTCTTTCCTTCAGCTAACGCTTGGATCACATTCCTTAGAAAAGAATTAAACACTAGTGTTACTATCGAGGTTTGGTTCATTCGGTCCTTTATTGTTGTTCTGGCAAGACTGTTTGACGACGACGAGAATCGATCAAAACTGAAAAATGTCTCACCCTAATTCTAGCAGAGATGAATTGATGTGTTGTGCTTCGCTGAGCCTTTCTCCTTCTGCATGAGTTTTCTTGAGTCGCTCACTGCCCGCCAAATCGCTCCTGTCGATTAATTTGAACATTTTTAAAAGTCGTGTTTCTTGTTTTTCCCTTGCTTTTTGTCAACTGAAAATAATTACTTTATTATAAAGTTGTTACAAAAAAGCTAAAATTCATGTTAAAATCCAAAAATGTGCTAGCTTTTCTGTCTCTTTTTATGGAAGGAATCAGTCTAGGATGCTATTTTTCTACTGAAACCTTTTTGGTACTTAGCGAGCAGAGTAGGCGGATGAAACTCAGGCTACTTTGGCAGGTACAGTTAATTGTAAGACTTCAATATCTACTAAATCGAAATGTATGGTCCTTCTTAGAAATTTCAGTGTTTTAAATTCTTGCAAATGGAATAGGAAGTGTGTCCCAGGCTCGTCCTCCTTAAAATATCAAATTGTTTCCGACTATGACTAAAAGTAACGCGCTTTAAACTCAACATAATACTCACAAATATATCCGTCCTCGAATGAGCACATCATCGTTAAATGATACCATTTTTGCCAAAGAGTTACCCTCTGTAGAAGTGCCCTGAAATGCAAAAATAGTTTTAAAATGACACCATTTAATAGTAAGGATGCCATTTAATAGGTTTAATTAATGGTGTAATAAAAGTTCAATAACCCCCAACATCGTCACAAGGCTAAAAACATTATAGTGGAAACTTGAATATTGGGTATTGTTACTTTCATCTATAAATCCAAGTATATGGAAATCAGGTGATTTCTTATCAGCTAAGGTAGAATTATTTGCCTGAGCATCCCTCAGAACAAAAGGTGTTTCAAAACAGTGTCCTCAAATACTCTACTACCTCATCACTGACGTCATCTCTTGTATCATTTTCTGAAACCTGTTGAAAGAGAAACAGAAACGACGATTAAAACAAAATCAAAGTATTCTTTATGAACAACTAGTGACAGGTCCGTAGCTGGTAGAGGCATCAACAAGGCTGTCGATTTGGTAAAAATGCTGAGGTTTGTTCTTAGCTTGTTTTGCTCTGGAGGACTGAGTTTGGGCTAAAATTAAACGGATATATAGATGATTCACTGACACGTTGCTTTGGCTATTATTGGAGATCGAGAATTGGGTATTGGGTATTTGCGCATACGAAACCTGCTATACAATGATTTGCTTGAGTGACCAGCAAACAAAAGATTCCTCATGCGCAATTCCCAATGCCCAAAGCAACCTCAATTGAATAAGCTATATATGAAAAAGAAATTTTTTCCCATGTCGTCTCGTTTACAATTTTCTTTTGAGTACATCTCTCACTGTCATATGGGCTTGTCTACCTTACCATGACGCATGATTTACTGAAAAAAAGGGAAAGTTTTAGATTCCGATTCCGGTTTGTATACTTTCTTAGGTCTTGGCAGGATATTTGCCGCTTAGAAGTTCAAATTAGAAAATAATGCATGTCTTCAAATTTGGATCCCGTTTCAGCAAAAAATGCATTCAAAATGAGGACTGGCCTCCGCACGTTCTAGAAATTTAAATAGGCCAACTTCAATTCCTCGTTTAAGGGCCCTTAGTCCTGTTCTAAAGCCGTTTACGTGCGAATTCTTGAAAATGTCTTTAAGCTCATGACAGTGAAACTCTTTTGAAGAAGAGATACGGAAACAAAGAGACAATTATATACGAAAAAGTTTCTTGGGCTCAGGTGTTTGTTGTTTTTTTTTTTTCGATATCTTCTATTCATGATGTTTTTACCTCTGTTTTTGTGTCACCTCCAATTGCTTGTCCTTCTTTGAGATCTCTCGCCGCCTGACCTAAGGCTAAAGCACAAAGTTAAAGTTAGTTAACTGATGATAAGCAGGAAAGCCTGATTAAGTCAAAAATTCCTATTTATCATTGATTCTTAAGAATGCTAACTTTTTTGCAACCGTAAGGGTTTCATTCCTTCAAAAGGTGAACCTGCCTGACAATGGCTCTGATTAACGTCTATACCAGCACAGTACCCATTTATCAGGCTTGTTTGCATTAGTAGTGGATTCTACAGATCGTGAATTCAACACGGACGTACTAATAGACTGAATAGATGCTTACCAGGTTTGTTGAGTTGTTCTGTTTCTGCCAGTTTGTTTTTGTTTAGAGTCCTCTCAATGGTCAATTGACAGACGGAGTGAGACCTGAGCATAAACGATGACAACAAAAAAATATCAACGGCTCAAACTTTGCTCTAATCGCGTCGAGAGGGCAGCACTTGAGTAAAATCAGCAAATTTTATAGTGCAGGCCCCGGATGTTCAAAACCTGAATAGCGTTATCCACCCGATAAATCGCTATCCAGCGGATAAGTATTAGGGAAACCAGTCGCGTTATCCAGTGGATAGAGATTTATCCAGTGGATAGTGCTATCCACCTTTTTAACAACTGGGGCCAGAAAACAATGGAAGGAAAACAAAGCCAGCATGGGTTGTTAGGAATTTAAGGTGATGCAAGATCTAACAGGCACTCAAACGTTTGAGTGAAAAGTCCGTTAACTCAACCACCCCCAATGCCGCTATAGCCAAAGACTTCAAACTCTTGTTTTCTCTTTTTTGTTTAGCCAACACGGTGAACTTTAACTGAAATAATCACATGTAAAAAAGGCCATTTCTTACCTGCTGGAATTTCTGTTCATTTTGGTTTCAGCAAAAATAAGCCTTTTCTTTCCTACTGCCAAAAGACTGGACACTTCTGAAGGACTTCGGACAACGAACTCAGAAAGGTTTTCTACATAAACACCTTTGGATTAACGAAAAGCGGGGATTAAAAAAGAGTAGCCAGTGACAGTGACAGTGGGTTAGGAAAACTTTTCACTAACTGTGGCCTTAATTGCTAGTTATATGCGGATTCCGTTATTTGAGATTTAGTAACTTGTAACGTCCTCACAAATTATCACTGAACAATTTAATTTGTTTCTCTGTTTTTCTATTTCCATCTTTAAAGGACGCGAACACGAGACGCACACCATTACGCAACCGCAACATGTCAGGTTTTGCTCTCCGCACGCCGTACGTATGTCATGGTCCGTACTTCTCCCGTACGCCGTACATTAAGTTTTTGCCCAAGTATACCGTATCCCTATAATCTTTCACTTTATTATCCCGTAGTTTAGTAACCCCTAATGAGAGCCTCACCTGCACATAAAGTCAAGTATAGGTAACATAAATGTCCTCACCTTTTACAAGGTGTTCTCTGAGACTTAACTCAATTTTGCTAGTAGAGTTAAGTAAGTCGTAAATCTTCTCTTGGTAGATTTGTAAATATGACATAGTCACCTGGAAAGAAACATTGATACAGATGGTTGTCTCCATATAGGCACAATCCTTAATGAACCTCTTTGTTAGAGGAGCAAGGATGGCAAGGGCCGGGAAAGCACAGGCCTCCCAACAAAGTTGCCCGGGTTCGAATCCCTGCGTCGACGTCTTTTTTGGGTTTATAGTGTGTTGTTGGTTCCGGGGACTCCCATTTTCCCCTCTCCCCAAAAAACAAAATTTACAAATTCCAATTCGACCAGGAATGGAAAACGAAGAACCGCTAAGTGGATGGACCACATTTTTTGTTTTAAATTTTATATATTTCATTTATTTACAACATACATGGATTCGGGTACGAGTAAACTTAATTGTTTAGGGGAAGGGCATTTATGACATATATTCAAGTACTAATAATGGGCTCTGGTTCAAAACGATCAATACTTATTCAAAAGTAGGTTGAGTTTGATCGTCCGGGTGAACGTAGTCCTGAATTGGACTGTTGTTGTTGACAGTGACTGACGTTTCGACAACCTGTGCGGTATAGTCTTCTTCAGAGTGAAAGTGAGTTGTACCACGTCAGTTGATGGTATTATACTCTGGTTATTGACCTGATTGGTCAATTACGTCGCGATGTTATTGGTCATCTGTCAGTTATGCCGTGATGTTATTGGCTATGAAGGCTCGTAATCAGTAATTGGTGCGTTTTGATCCGCCTATTGTCACAGTCAAATTGTCAGTTGTCCGGTCGTTCTCTTGTAGTTAGTTTTGCTTGATTTCGTCAATACGTCGTTTGTACGGTGCCGGTAACTGTTGACTACGATTCAGATTCATACTTATAATTATTCAATTGCTCCATTCCTAAAATGTGCTAAAAGCCTATACACTCTTCCTAAATGACATACGGTACGTCTTAAGAGCGCGGTTTGATTGATAAAAAGGTTTTCTTCTAAGTTTCCAGTCAGTAACGATAGAATTCACACAAATTGCATGCACTACCAAGGGGCGAAGCTTTTGGAAGAAGCAAGAACACATGGTTGCAATAGACTGTACCTTGTAATCATGGCGTTCATCCTGTGTGATTCTTTTGAAACATCTTTCAATAACTCCTGCTGTGATGCCGTCTGGTGCCATCAGCGTATGTGTCTTACCTAGTAATGAAAGGCAGTTGTGATCATAAAAAGCGGAAAAAAAGTATCTTCGTTTGAAGGTTAGAGGAAAGGTTGCGGGTGGATTTAGGTGCCTCTAATCATTGTCAAAAGGGGGAGGGGGTTGGAGCAATTACCAGTTAAATTTCGCTCCCTTGAAGTTCTTTCCTGGATTATCTGTCGTACACGAGAAGTTTTAACTCAACGAACGAATAAATACATTTCCTGAAACAATAAATTCAACTCTATGTAAGGCTAACGGGCATTGCTAGGACAGTCGGCGTCACTACAAAAAATACTACGTGCCCGAAAGATGTTTCCTTAGCTAATATACGCAGAAAGAAAAAGACTGAAAAACGGCAAAAACCAACTCTAAGCTCTCGTTTCGCCTGGTGACAGACCATGTGGGGGGGGACCCTCTATTATGGAAATGACGAAATGCTCGCCGTCTCGCGGTTTTGCGTTGAGAAATAACTAAATTAAAAAGAAAAATGCCCGGGTCATCATGCAATGTTGAAATAGCCTCATTAAGCTTAAGCCACAACCAGATTGGTCTCCTTTTGAGCGTTTTATTGTAGTTTTCTGACAAGCATCCCTGCCATTTTTATACGAGAGAGTAAGAGATAGTCGTAAGAGAGATTTGAATAGTAAATAGTCCATTTCCGAGTTCCAAAAACTCTCACTTTCAGATAGAAGTAAGCGTAAAACGTATCTCAAGCTAGTGAAAATGAGTTTTATGACAATAAAAGATCAATTTTCGAGTAAATGGCTTGGCACCTAGCCTCGCTTTGAAATAAGGCTTGGGGTAAACGGGAAATGGCCAATTATTAAAATAAAAATAGTTTTCATCTTTTCTAAGTATTCAGACTCCACCTTCAAGTCAGCATACTCCGAATGGGAAAGACGGAGAGAGAAGGAGATGTGCTAATTGCTCGAAGAAGGAAATTTACACCTCTGGAGCAATCAATTTGTAATGTAGATTTAAGTGCCTGGTAATAAGTATCTCAGACCTGATCCAGTTTGTCCATATGCCATTAGAGTTCCGTTAAAGCCATTTAGAGCGGCATTGACCAGCGGTCTACTGATAGTGCTGCACACCTGTAATAAGAAAAAGTTTTGTTCCCAAATGAGCACCGCACATGCTAGCTAAGATCAAAGGTGTGCTTTATTAGGATAAATTATCAATACACTGAAATATTGCTGAACTCATACCTCGGGATTCGTAGACTCTTTTGGAAACACGTGATCGAAATTGAAAGTCTTTTCCCAGCTGTGCTTGGGGTCTGAAACATGGATCTAAAAATGCAACAAAAACAAAACATCATTTTTCATGGGTAGCTGAGTTGTTCTAAACAGTAACTGAGGAGCGACAGAAGTGTTTTGTCGGGAGTGACCTCATATCTCAAAGTAATTGCCCGGATGTTACCGGTTTTGAAAGGTTCGAATTGCATTGCTTGTTACTGGTGTTTATCTCTGTTGAGTCCGAATATTTTTCCTCCAACATGGGTACCAAAGAGAATCCAACAACAAGCTAAGAAAACAAATTGTAAAAAGACTGACCTGCACCTACCCTGGGAAGGATAAGGGGAACCTCTGACTGCTTCTGATGAAGGGGAATTTAGTGATTTTGTACCCTCTATTCCTCTCCAGAGAGCTCAAAATGTAAACTCTCGAAAGTTTATGATTGAATGATCTACCGGTGACCGATTTCATTTTAAGAAACATGGCAAGCCGGTTAAATATTAATTGGCCATGTTTGAAGCTTGATTAATATAACCCCCCTTTACAGCTAAAAAAGTAGAGTAGTTATGTTAAAAGTACAGTATATCCTCCATTCAAGGGACACCCTCGGGACCAAGGTAAGTGTTCAATGAAATAGAGATGTCCGGCCTTCATGGAGGTTGGGCTGGGGATTGTTAATAATTAACCAACAAATCAGTAAAATATTTTTCTTTATTCTTTGTTGGAATCTTTTGCAGTCATTATTTCAACCAGATAGATAAGGTATAAAAAATCATGATTAGATTATATCTGTGATGTTTGTGTTTTGAATTCCCACAAGTGCAGTAAATCACTGAGATACTGCATGCTTTGAAAGCTGTCGCCATTTTTGACTAGCGTACACTTAAAATTATCAATGCTTTTTTGTAAGGTGGTGAAATAAACCTGGTTTTTGAGGCAAAAAGGTATACCCTGCTGAATGAAGGTTAACCCTGGGTTTAAGAACTGGGACCCCCAAGAAAAGTTTTTAGTGTCCCTTTCCTGAATAATAATTGTCCCTTAAATAAGAATTAGTTTTAATTGTTATACTGTACTATTATTAAAAGTTACAAAGTTTCTTATTATTTATTTTGAACTTTTTTTTCATTAACTTAAAATCTTGTAACAGATATACTTAAATGGAGGTTACCCTAGTTAAATAAAGGTTTACTACTACTAATAGAGATTACAAATACAAAGATTATGTGAACATTTTTCTGGGAATGTGTCCCTTGAATGGAGGTGTCCCTTGAATAGACGTGTCCCGGAGGAGAGGTTCCACTGTAATTGCGCAGGTGTGGTAGTCCCTGTTATACCTCAGCGAGTGTTAATAAATGCAATGCAGTCTCAGATCAGACCACGCCAGTTATTTTTTCAACAGCTCACACCATAAAACTTACGTTGTTTTGGTAATTTTAGGCAATTTTTACACTTTGATATATAGTTCAAAGACCACATTTTTAATGCAGTCCACAACAACTATGAGATAGGCCACAGTTAGCATTCCTTAAGGCTTTCTACATCAAGAATTTCAAGCCCCAATTAACAAAAGACTTTAAGCCTCTAGAGAATTAGACTTGTTTTTTTGTCTGATTACCAAGTATTTTAGTAGAATTCATTATGTTAACACACCTTTGATGTTTAAGTTGTCCTCCTGTAGAACATCATTTATGACAAACTATGACTTCATAACAAATCCAAAGTATTGGAAGTTTCAATCATCTTGTAATATTAATTCTTAACCTTGCTCACTTTTTTTTCTATTTTACTGTCAGATGGCTCTGAATTATGTTCGCACTTGTTGCTTAAGCACTTGTGCCTGGGCATGAGCACAAAATGAGAGTGCTCCATGATCCTGTTAGGGACTTAACGGTAATAAACAGTACATACGCACAGAGATCTAATAACTTATTTCTGGTATGAGCACTTGACAAAAGGTGTGTTCACATTGGAAGACAGCGAGTATTGTACTGGAAGCTGTGAGTGGCAACCAAGTGTTAAAGGTCAATAATCCGTATTGTGACCCACACTCACATGACATGGGAAATACGACATTTATCTCATAAAGCTTTTTCTTTAGGTACTGGATTATACTGAAACAATCACACTCTATGTGTATCAAGCTTATTTACTGAAAATTTTCTAAGTATCCACAAATAAATATTAGCCACTTTTTTTTTGGGGGGGAGTCAAAGGCAAAAGATTTTTATCCAACAGGTGCAAGGATTTTGAGTATAGGATTTTAGGACCAGGAAGGAGAAATTTTTCCACTGCCTTGAGCTCAATTTTTTAATGCATGTTTGATGGAAAAAAATTAAGAAATTTAAATCAATTAATAGACTTAATTTTAAGAGGGGAGCACATAACAGTAGTGAAACTGATAACCCTGAGGCACCCAAATTAGACACAGATACTTTATTTGAGCACCTTAATGGGAAAATAGCTATCTTAAAAGAATTATTTAAAGTAATTCTGTCATCTCTTGCAACTATATTATCAACTCTTTCAACTGGCACCATCAGCATTCAATAATAACTGCGGTTAACCATTTTATGTTCTGATAATAGTGAGTTTATGCAACAGCATTAGCAGGAAGAAGAGGATGGCAGAATGTTTTTGCATGACAAATGTGATTTTCACTTAACTTTACTGTTTTCAGATCTTTTACGAAAAGATCTGTTGAAAAGAGGGTGAAGTCTGGCAGAAAGCTTTTTCAAACATAATTGGTATCACGTTTGTCACACAAGGTTTAATGCCATCTTCTCTCCTCTCCCGTCCTGGCCCCAGTTGTTCACATGTTAGATAGCGTTATCCAGCAAATAAATCACTATCCAGCACATAAGTATCGGGGAAATCAATTGTGCTATCCACTGGATAACGTTGTCTATCTTTTGAATAACTGAGCCAGTTGCTTAAGTTCACTAATAAGCAACTCAACAACTCCTACATCATTACATCACCAAGATCATTTGCATTAAGTCACTATTTTTTTAGTTCATTCTCTCTCTCCCCTGTAATAAGCAGAATTGCGCCCAGTTTCTTTAACTTTGACATCATAAAGTAATCCTTCCGGCAACAGCTTTGACAAACAATTCCAAATGTAAACAGCGATATTTTCAGCAGTTGAACAAACATCTTTAAAGTAGGGGACATCAAGATCCAAATGTTTATGATCCAGAGGATCTAAAACGCTCTGAATGTGCTTTTTCAAGTCTGTTAGATTCATAACCATGCCAGTAACTGGATCAACAGGCCCACGGAGAGTGACTTTTACGATGTAGTTGTGACCATGTCCATTCTTGTTGTTACATTTTCCGAAAATTAATCGATTCTCTTCGTCGCTCAATTTTGGACTATGTAGTCTATGGCTCGCACAGAAGGACTCTTTTCTTGTAATATACACAACCGGCAGTGACTTTGGTCCATTTTCTTTTGTATCGTGATTATTAAGAGCCATTTAAAGCGATAAAATTACAAGTCAACAGACAACACTACGTTTACAAAGTGATGGAACGTTGATCGACAATTCATCTCATCACCAGGTCCTTCTCCGCTGACATGACGACCTGGGGACTGGGGCCAGCAACAAACGTCTCTCTCTCTCTCCCCCGCAAAAACAATACCACAAATAAGTGGGTGTTACCAGGGTTACATGTAAATTTTATCAGCATAAAAACGTTTCCTATCCTATAAGGGGGCATTTTAACCTCACCTGAGAAGAAAGCTCTTGAACATTCACGGCTATCGGTTCCTTGCGGCTGGTTTCTTGAGGTCGTGGGGGTCGGACTCGAACGAAGACTTTCACCCGTCCAGAATCTTTATGCAAATAACCAAGAGAGATAACAAAATACTGAAATTAATTTTTCACTTTCCTTTTTCCAGTTTTTGTGGTCGACGGTAGCTGCAAACAGCAGTCGGCAAGAGAGGATAAAGGTCTCTCTTTCAATCGCTCATTAGCGGACTGTGTCCCAACTAAAATTGGTGCAATTTTGTCAGGAGCCGATCGGCTCCTGATTTTGTCCCATAAAATCCTAATTGTGGTCGGAAATGTTGTTCGGGCAAAATTGATCCCAAGTATTTAGGGGAAGTTTAAGACCATCACGTAATTAAAAAAAAAAAAAAAAAAAAAAAACAGACCGCAACGTTTCGGAAACTTCTTGGTAACAATAATAATTAAAAAAACGGTAGCTTCTCGACAACTTTTTAAATTTTCTGGCAGCTTTATTTGAAGAAAAATTTCCGAATCTTGTGGCTAAGTCGAAAAGTAATCAGCGGTCAATAAGCAACAACTCGGGTATTACACCAGGTAATAAAAGTGTGGAACAAATTTTCTCCACCAAACAGTATCTCTGTTATATTAAGAAGTTATTGACGAAGTCAATCAGGGTAAAAAAAATTTCCGCTTCCAAGGAGACACGGATACATGTGGTCAGATGAAAGCGATTCTAAAGTGCAACGCTCCGCGTGCGTGAGAATTTTTCTGAAAACGGAGAAAAAATTAATCCAGTTTTTGGTCGCTTTAAAACGAACAAACAAACAAAAAAAGCCAAAAAACAAAATCGGGAATGGATGTGCTTTTTTTATTAAAGTACATTCCCTTAAGACCATGGAAATTGTTTGCTCTTGAAAGAGAGGTTAATTAGTTACTTATAGGTTGAAACGAGTTGGATGACCAGCTACGGAGCGAGACAACGAAAATTCTTCCTCGACATAATGTTCGTTGTTTTTTGAACCAAAAACTCACCTTTGCCAAGTTTTATGTTGGAAGCCTTCTCCGTCTGCTTTTCTCCTTGGTGTGGCTTCATTTTATTACTCCAATGTAGATGGTTTGGAGGTTAGCTATAGAGGTCACTCAGTGATTCACATGGGTTGATGCGATGCTTGATCATTGCCGTGAGTTTTCTAATGGCTATTAACATAAGATGAGGAGATCAGCAGATAAGAAGAATTAAAAAAAAACTCTCGAACGTTGAAACGAACTTTGACATTGATAAAATGTATCGAGCAACTGAGGCTGCCAAGCTCATGCGGGGAGATAAGTGTTCTGTCACATCATCTGGTGAAGATAGTAAAAAATTGATTTCTTCAGTATATTTCACGATCAGTTTTTATTACACAAATATGGAAAGAAAGAAAAAAGAACATTAGCCTCCTTGAGTCCTCACAATTCTCTGGCCAAATCAGTCCATTTTGTGCAAAGATAATTACATGCCGGATCCACCCATTTTCACCAGGGCCGGGGTGCAGCCTCCCCCCAGGGAGGGGTTCTTCTTTACAACAGACTAATGGGGTAAGAAAAGTTCTTCACATTTACGGTTAGCAAACGTACCAGAATGTTTGTACCGTAGCTAAAAAGTAAAGTGTTCTTCATTCAGTAAAAGGTACATACTTAAATGGAAAGTGACTAAGTTGCATTGGGATCGCGAAAATTACATATTTCCCAAAATTGACTAAATGATGTGGTCTATAATTGGTCACAGAATAGACTGCAATAGGGTAGGAGCTCTGAGAGGCCAGCGGCACATACACAGCAAAAAATAACTCTAAGGGAGCACCCCACTCTTACAACAGGTCGATCCCTTACAAATACGATTCTGGGGTAGCCATTAAGAAATGTAGACTAGCAAGAGCCCATAAGATTTCCAAATCTCCTCAGCTTTAAGTTCCTCTCAAATCAGCAGTCAGTTCCTGCGTCAGATAGATATCCAGCTGTATTGCGCTTCTACATTCAGTCATCAGTAGTGGAAAATAAATACCATCACAGTGGACAATGATCACAGCGAATTTCTAATTTCGACACTCAATATTGGCCTGTTATTTTCACACATTTCAGTTGAAATAAAATAAGTAACAGTTTTCCTGAGACAGGTAAATGTTACGTTTTTTCCCTTCGCCGGTTCGTTCTCCTATATTCTGCAGCAGTCGCAACCCAACCGCTTTCCAGACTGCGAACCGACATTGTTAAAATCAAATATTCTACCGTTGTTTGTTGCAGCAGCTAAAGGCGCAATTAAACAAGAACTATTTTCTAGGATTAACACTATTTTTCTCCCAGACATGGAAAGAAACGCAACGTTTTAGTCACTGGAAATTATATTAAATCACAGTGGTGATTTGGGATACATAAATTCCGTTGCATAATATTTTTAACCACGTCTACGGTCAATACTAACTTACAATTAAAAATGCTATTGTGAATCAACTCCAGGAACCCCACCCAAGCAAATCAACATGTTACAACTTGCTCCAGACTTACATTTTCAGCGTGACTTGCGCGATCTTTGTTTCAGCATCTCAATTTTATCCGTTAACTTTCTTTCGTTCTGCCTTAGCTGGAATTAAATTCAGCGTCTTGTTGTTCTCTTATTGCCAACAAAAAGCGTGTTAAGAACTGCGCTTAGCGTAAGACATAATCATCGACTCACACTTAAATGACAACCAACAGATTTATCTGTCAATTGAAATACGCTTGTTTTGTTCAACAAGGTGGTGTAATTTTCAGCTCAGATCCAATGGTGAGGCAACATTAGATAACGTCAAAGATAAATTTAGCTCTTGTGGGTTTCAAAAACGCAGCGACTCTACCCACCTCAATTATTTTAGCTTTTGAAGGAGTGATTGATAGTAAATACGCAACAGTTGAGTACACTCAACAGAATGAAGGAATTTTGTGATAGATTTCATAAATGAATTGTTTTTCAACAATTAGTACCTTTTAAAATAGTTAAGCAGGTGTAAATCGTGAAACGGTCTGTGATTGGTTAAGGGATAAAGACACAGCAGGAAATTAGCGGCAAAACACGACAACCTTTTTGAAGGTCAGAAAGAGCGCGAAATTTGGTGGCCGATCAGTCAAATCTAACGTTTGTTCATTATATTCGTCGACGTTTATGGTTATGGTTAACAGTCAAATCTTCACTAAAAACCAAAGATACTTTCTTGCGTGTTACCTCAGCCTTAGTTTGGATTCACGGATCTATACTCAGTATTTTAAACGTAATGAGAAGATACCATTATATCTTAACATTCAAACACATCAGGAGGCTGGATACAGCACTGACCATATCTTTCTCAGTGAGTTAAAGATTGATATGATTCAAATTGACTGAGAACGAAGTGTAACATGCTGGGCTCCACAGATATCCCTGATTAGTCGTTTAGTACTTAACACAAATTCATTAAAACATTTTAATTAAGTGTAATTACTGGCGCACGTCAGATCAATTTGAAAAAGCTGTTTGTAGGAATGTGAGAAAATGGCCACACCGATTTAAAAAGATGAAACCCTCACTGTTCTGAACTGGAATACTTTGGAGATAAAGTAAACGTAACTGTTCGGTTGTATTTTCAACTGACATCTCCGCCACACCCGAAGCACCTGCTTAAATTCACTGTCCGATCCGGACCTAGGGTTGCAAAGGTGCTCAACGAAGTTTCGTAAGGGCGCTATACTACTTCCCCTTTTTAGGTACCTCTTTGGCAAAGTTTATATCGAGAAATGGTATCCTTTTCACAAAAGTTAAGTTTACTGTATCTCTTGTCTAGACCCTTAGAATGAAGTTAATAAAACATATTAAGAAAATATACAAAAATTTAAAATCGTTGTATCATCTGTTTGAAACATTTCAATAACGGTCATAAATAGAACTAAAAATCTCCCTACTCTTCCACATACTCCAACTCGTAAAAAGCCCTTCCTTTTCATATACCTGAAGCCCATAAAAGATAATTCAAACTCCTCGCGTAGGCTAATATTTATAGTAACCCCTTCTCCCGAATAGAAAATGAAAATAATACTATTTTGTGTGATCGCGTAGAACGTTTGGCACCTTGTTCTATTTCAAAAAAGCTTTTATATCGAGCAATATCTTACAGAAGGGTACAAGGAGATAGCAGATGTAAAAAAAAAACAAAGGAGGATAAATAACATAGTTGCTGGCCAGTGCAGCGCAATGCAATCCAATGAAATGCGATTCAATGCAATAAAGTAATGAAATTTGATATACGTACGTTCTATTACGATGAAAGGAAATCAAACAGAAAGTGAAGTTAACAATAAATTAATATAAACAGTTAAACTATGTAAGAAAATACCGACAGCTCTATGGTACAAAATTGTGTACGTTTTGCGACCTGACCTGAAAAATATTGTTTGATTTTTTTTACAATCAGGATAAAAATTCCAGATTATTGACGAAATCTTATACCCTGACCAACCCACTCAAGAACAAGTAGCTGCCAATAAATCATCGAACCATTGTCACATTTCTACTTTTTGCTTAATAAAGGATAAACATGTCACGTAAATATACTACGTTAACAAGAATTAAAGAAAGAATCAGGTTTCTCCTGGAAATGCTGTGTACTAGAACATGACACAGCAACACGACTGAATCAATATCAATATCAATATCACCATTGTCAAGGGCGATGCAACTGATTTATTTGCCGGACTAGTTCCCGAATTCATAAACTTATTTAAACAATGTTTTGAAATTTCAATGTTTACCTAACATAGTTTACAAAACTTTGTTTAACAATAATCAAACAGCAAAATCTTTGAAGTTGCCATAAAATTAAGCAGTTAATAGTTTCAATTTGCACTTCAAATCATTGAGAACCTAACACCTCAGAACATTGACAAATTTGTTTAAGACATGTGTGAAGCGGAGGAGAAAACAAGAAAGCCCTGCATCTTGTGACATAAATTCAAAAAGAGATAAATATAATTAAAGCCGTCAGACTGCCAATCGTTGTTGAGGTCCATAATTGAACAGTTAATGGTATGCACAGGCATGTTCGTCTGTTAGAAAAATTGTGACATCTATGTCAAAGATGGAATACTTTGTTAGCGGATATCAGTTCCTCGATTCATGAAACGTGATTCCTATTTGAATATAAATCAACGGGCCGTGAGATACGTGAAGCGATAAGTGAGATACGTGAAGCGAGACTGACATATATGAGCTAACAGCAATCATCTGCAGTGATCTTATCTTTCCTTAAGCTTCGCCAATTGTTCTTCTCTCTGATCTATAGCTATTCACGATAACTCACCTCCGCAGACAAGCAAAAGATCAAATCTGTTACACTTGGAATTGAAGAGCCTGCGACAACATATTTACTGAGGAGGAAGATTTCCTGGTCGGGCTTACCGCCTCTTATCTGACATGTCGAGGTGTGTTTATATTTCGTTGAATTCACCCGTAACAGCAGGTGACCTAAACCACTAAGCGTTCAACCAGTGGCCTCTCGTCTCACGTCATTCTTGTTCCCAGATCTACTCGATTCTGAAAGTCAGAGTATAGTTTGTTATTCATGCAAGGCATTTAAACTAGGAAAAATCTTGGGAAATTATAGAGATATCGCATGAATGTTTCCCGAGCGGGGGCAACGAAAATGCTGAGATTCAAAACTGGGGAAATTAACTGGTTTCCAGCTAATTTCAGAGATTAATTTCCGGTATATGCATAGTATATACTTATACATTAGCAAAAGCAGTCGTTGGTAAAATCGTACAGTCATATCCGAAGGTATAGAGACTTTGAGTGACTGATAGTTTCAAATAGTTTCACGAAAAAAAAAAATCAAAATTCGAGAGCACTGTTTCTTTGCACAGACGCGTCAAATGCGAATATGATGTTAACACCTTCCTGCGAAAAAATTTTGATTTATTAAGACTCGTAAATAAGCGAAAAATAAGTACATAACATTGAACTTGAAATCTTACAGAAAATGTATGGTTTGTTTTAGTTTTTTAAAGCACGAGCGCCATTGATAGTGATTTCACGCGTGTAGATAGTTCTCAACCCTGGCAGAAACCTTATGGAACAAAAGAGCAACGAGGGACTTTGATATAAGCAATCCTAACTCGAGCTAGCTGCCAAGAACTGCTTTGAGGTTCCCAGCCAACAGCTACCACATGTATACCACATGGTGGAGCTGGCGGTTAAGGAAGTGTGTTTGTACACGCCCCGATAGTGAGAAACTCTAAAAGCGCATTTGACTGTACAGTGTTTTGACGGCTATTCCTTGCGGTTGCGCCTTAATGATGGCCAAACAGATGCCCATGGCTACCACAGCGCGGGTGATACGGCTATGCGCATGCGTATAGTACTGTCCATACCTCCGAACTGATTGTGCATGCTAACTTGGTGACTTTGGTGATGTTAAGCCGATGATTATCAACCGAGAACTAGTCACACAGTTTAAAGCAATGACTATCTCTTTAATAAGATGTTATATAATTAGAAAGGGCGACTTAAAGTTCGTGCAAAGAGAACTCTTACGATAGGAACACGTTTCGGCTATCACGTCATGCAACTATTAAAAGGCACTGTCACAGGGCACCGTTCCTTCTCCAACATGTACCTGAGAATGACCAGTGACATCTCCAACTGAAAAGGATGACAAATCATAACTTCGGAGTCTTCCTTGATGAGCGTGGACCATCCACTTGCACGGACAAGAAACCTTCGGAAACAGTCTCTTATAAGCTAAACGAAACTCGCGATTTAAATAGCCGTAAAGGATTGGATTCATGGCAGAGTTACTGTAGACAAGTGTAGATATGACGAGAACTACAACAGGAGTTATTAAATTCTTGTAAAAAGCACTTAAGATGACTGCAACCATGAATGGAATCCAACACAGATAAAACACGCCGACCACTATTCCTGGAAAAAAACAAAGAGATGCATTGTAAAAATCATCGAGATTGAAATTTCTTGAAGTTGTAGACACAAAAGGTTCGGCAGCGTGGTCTATGATGTACATGGTCAGAGCGCAGTAGCCGCGATCAGTGCAGATGTATCATGGACTTCTGCCAAATGTAAGGGAATCAAAGACAGTCTTGGATTCTGGATTTCAAACCATGGATTCCGGATTCTTTGTCAATGAAACTTAACTAGGATTCTGGATCCCAATCGTTAGTGAGATTCCGGATTCCTTGAGCACATTCCAGATTTCAAATCCCAGGATTCCGGATTCCACAGCAAAAATTTGCTGGATCACGCCAGATCCCACGAACAAAAATCTCCCGGATCAATTTCGAAATTGGGATTCGTTTACATGGCGCGAGGCTTCGGCAAGCGTTCCTTCCTCACGAACGTCTGCTGAACCAAGCGGCCACATCTATTCGCCTTAGTTTTCGGAAAAAACCATTAAAATCAACTTTTTAAACACTTAAAACCAATTACGAGCTTCCAATAATCCGAGTTATTTTCTGGTCCTTTCCTATAAAGTACTTAAAGTGCAGAAGATAAATGTCCTTCCTGAAGCCGAAAATGACAGGCCAGTTTACTATGAGAGTCAAAGAATGGTTATACACCCGAAACCGCCTGCTTCTTGAAAGACATTTAAGACACATTTTGATAGTTTTTACAATATCATCATCCTATAATCTAAAAAAATTATAACTGGTTGCAGTTAAAAGCGTGATCAGCAAGGAGTGCTAAGTTCGTCTCCTCAAGTACCAGTGGGGCTTTTGATGACGACGACGATGATGGGCCAAAAAACAGCTGAATTTGTATAGTTTCTTTAGAATTCCTTTCATTTCAAAATCAATACCACTTTATTCTTTATTGAAAGCACTGAACGCGACCAAATTGCTCTCACCGGAAAGATCATACAAATCTAACATAATTCAAAGTTCTGAAAAACTGCATGCTTTGCCATCTAAGTCTAGAGGTCACTAACATGGAAAGAAGTTATTAAAGCATGGAAGTGCGTTATTAAGGCCATCATAACACACAGCTTCAATCAGCGAATCAGGTTCCAGAATTTAGCACAGAGTAAAGAGTATTAAATTATATAATATAAGTTCAACCTTGACCTATAGATTAGGCAGAAGACCTCACGGGGAAAATGAAACAGAATCATAATGTAATTTTAGAGCGTGAGCTGAATTTTAATAGACCAAAACTGGGCTATTGCCGTAGGCCAGTCTGAAGACAGCAAAAATGATATTTTCTCAGTATTTCGGTTGACTGCGTATCTTTAATAGACATAATTAGCTCGATGTTCATATTATTGTTAATATGTCAACGTAAGTGTAAGAATATATTTAGATTGTGATCACCAGCTGTTCAGTTGTGTGCTTTTAGAAAGCAAAAAGGTTTCAAACAAGCAACGTATTTTAGACACTCATGGTCACATACGGCGCGAAATGCATGCATGCATTAATACCCGTTGCCTTTTCTCCTCTTTTTTTCATTTACAATTTATTGAATAAAATTTCGTTTAAGCGAGTTTCTGAATTTATCAGTCTACAGGACTTTAAAAACAGATCAGTGACATCTCTAAGAACGGTGCTTTATGGCTTGAATTGTTAAATTGTTTTAAGCCAGTTTAATTCCAAAAAAGAATAAGAAAAAAGCCAGACATCAAAAATGTCTTATTAAAGAGATCGGAAAATTAATTGAATTCAGGAGCCGAGTAGTCTATCATAATATTTATTGCATCTTGGAGTCAGGCGTTCAAGCAGATAGCAGACTTTTTATTCCAAATTAATTTTCTTTTCCTTTAGTGTCGTTGGTAGAAAACTCTATTTTACTTGCATCGCCATGGTGCTGTCTAAAATCGTCGCCCTGGAAATTCTTTCCTTTAGGTAAAATGCATGATTAAACATGAAGTACAACTCACCAATGTTCTTCGCGGTTTTCGACTCCTTCAACGCCGACACGATTTCCTCTCCTTCTCTGGGAATCTGCAGAGAGTTCAGTCGACGTCTAAGCTTGCTTGCAGCCAGGAAAATTTTAACGTAGGCATAACTGATAAATAAAGTTGGAAATAAAACAACAACGGCAGAAAAAAATGACAGATATTCCGCGCTCATCGTGTCTGCGAATCTACAAATTCTGTGCTTATTGCTTCGCTCCTGAGCAGTTTTGTTCTTTAAGCCCACAAATGGTAGGAATGATACCATGACAGCCACGATCCAACCTACTACTATGGCGTAGAAAATTCTCCGCGACGAGAATTTGCTTTGGTAAAAAAGAGGTACGATGATAGCGCAATAACGTTCAATCGTTAGAATCAAAAGGTTCAGCATCGTAGCTGACAAGCTGAACAAAGTCAGACTCAAGGAACACTGGCACCAGAATATACTCCGCGACCAACTGAAAGACTGTGCTTCCACAATTCTTAGGGGCAACACAATAACGCCAACAAATAAATCAGCCACTGCTAAAGAAACCAGTGAAAAATTCGCCGCCTTTTGGAGGGAACGAGTCGATTTAACAGCCAAAATCAGCAAAAGATTATCTGAAGTAATTAGAAAACTTAAGGTAACGTAAAGAAACGTTATTAATGGCAACATTTGTCTCGTTTTTCAGAGTAGATCTCGTACAACCTCCCGATTAATATTGTGAGTTCGCATTTAAATCAGCCAATTTTAGGAGACATCATTAACGAGACAATTCAAAGAAATATGCAAAGATTATTTTTGTTATTTGCTGGACGCCTTGTTTTTGGTTAATGATATGCAATTTTTATTGGTTTACTGATCTGAAATAAGTCTGAATCTACACAGTCCGCTCGTTATAGGTGTTAATTTTAGCTTTTTAATTTCAGCGTCAAATTTTGCTTTTTTTGAGTGGCAGATTCATTTCCACACGGACTGATGATTAAAAAAATTGAAAAACCATTTTGCGTTCATCGAACCTATGGTTCGATAAGCACTCTAAATAACTGGCAGTAGCTTATCGATTTCCCACACAAAATTGAACCCTTCATGCCAGCGAAATAACACGATGAGCCGCAAGCAGTAAAATTTCTGTCCCGTAATTTTATCAGTTAAATCATCAAAGTTGACAGGTCTTTCTGATGATCAAAGCGACCGTTCGGTTTACCATTTACACCTTCAGTGCGAAGACTGTCACGGGAACATTAACACCTTCAGGATAATTGCTTACCATAACAGTGGTAGGTCGCGCGCGTCTGGCCGGTTTCGAAGAACGTGATCGTGACTGTTGTTTTTATTCAGTGACTGTGCGCGTTGATATGCCAACTTTTAAAACAGACTGCAACATTAAATTTTTGTTATAAAAGCAAAGAAGCTGCTGAGTAGAAACTAAACCGTCCCAGACTTATTCCGTTTCATTCGTGTACTTTCATTTTGATGGGGTCTGTATGATGAATTTACTTCTGCCTTCTAATCAGGCACGTAAA